ACCTTCATAAAATAAACTTGGTAGCCTTGTAGGTCTTCTAACCATTTTCAAAGTTATAAGAATTTTATTTTCTAAAGCTTCAAAGATTTCATATAACGATCTGGGCTCAGAACATTATAATTTAAGTTCCTTTGCTATATCTTCCTTGGTATAGGTTTTCTATTTTTTTTCCTTGAGTCAATTTTAGTAACTTAATTTATTTCTCTGAAATTATTCATCATTTATGTACATACATGTAAATCCTCCTTCATATGTGTAAGGAGGATTTACATCAGAGAGAGAGAGAGTGAACAGAAATGGCACCTATACAAAGGAAGGAGTAGCTGGTCTATTTCTGGCTGGTGTGGAGCCTATATGTCCAAACCAGGGAAAGTTGTAATTGTGTGGGAAGACTGCACCTTCTTCCTCCCTGCTTCCTCAAGGTGAAGCTGTTTCAGAATATAAAGACAGTATCCGTTACCAATTATGATTTACAGGAACTATAGCCATGCTAGCAAAAAAAATATCACTTCAGCAGTTGTTTATGATATCGTAAAATTACAATAATTGCTTTTGATTTATAACCTAAAACATTTTACAGGAAGAGAAGAAAAGAAAAAATCTTCACTAGAGACTAGGTCTCTCTGAATTTGATAGACTTAGGAGTGCAACAGTAACTACAAAGTTCTAGTTCACAGAAGTAAGTGAAACCAAAACAGTCCCGGGATCTTTTCTCTAAGCCTGTCCAAAATTCAGCTACACTAAGAGCTCAGGACTATCACTTGCCCATTTGTTTAAATTACTTTCCAACATACCCAAATCCATTCTTTCATACTTAAACATTTGTCTACTTAATTATGTTTTTGTTTTGTTTCTTGAGACAGAGTCTCGCTTTGTTGCCCAGGCTACAGTGAGTGCCATGGCGTCAGCCTGGCTCACAGCAACCTCAAACTCCTGGGCTCAAGCGATCCTGCTGCCTCAGCCTCCCGAGTAGCTGGGACTACAGGCATGTGCCACTGTGCCCGGCTAATTTTTTCTATATATATTAGTTGGCCAATTAATTTATTTCTATTTATAGTAGAGACGGGGTCTTGCTCTTGCTCAGGCTGGTTTTGAACTCCTGACCTCGAGCAATCCGCCTGCCTTGGCCTCCCAGAGTGCTAGGATTACAGGTGTGAGCCACTGCGCCCAGCCAATTATGTTATTTTTAACTGTAACTTCAGACAACTTTTTTGGGTTTTTGTTTGTTTGTTTGTTTGTTTTGGTACCAAGATTCTTGATCCACAGAATTAGTTCCAGAGATCTGCTCAAATTTGGACATGCCGGCACTCAGCAAAACATTCAAGCCTCCTTCTAATTGCTGATGCCTCAGATGATGTGTCTTGATACAGACATAATGTAATATAAAACTTCTAAATATGATTTCAGCTTTGAGTCTGCAGCAAACAGGTAAAGATTTCATGTGAGATAGACTTGCTCTCTTCCTAGATTTTTGTCTCATCTGTTCCCAGAAAAGCAAAATGATTTATATAGTCAAAAACAAATGATAGATTATTCCCTCCTCCACTTGGTCCCATTCTTCCCCATTATTTATCAATTCTTATTTTTCTAAATGTCTCAATTTTCAGTTTTTAAGAAACCATCAGTGTGATACTAATATGTTTCAAAAAGAAAATAATAAATTGGCTATCCTTGGACATCATATTCACTTTTCAAAACTGATTTTTATTATGGGACATTCTAGAGTGGATCTGTGCCCACTTATCATAGTTGTGCTAAATGTATCAATTTGGCCCTAGACTTTCAGACACTTTGGCTCATGGTACATATCTTTGTTTTGGGTTCGAAAGTTTATTGAAAGACATGTTAAAATCAACTCCTTACATCTGTAGCAGCCTGAAGACATTAATGGTAAAGTTCTAATATATTTGGTTCATGTGACATTGTCTTTTAAAAACCTTATTAGGATTAGAATATGTTTATTTTAAATCTAAACTTCTTAAGAAATAAGGAATTTTTAGATCACATTTAAAATTTAAGAGGAAATGTACATTCATGACAAATTATTACTACCAATTTAAAGACCTGGATTATATTTTAGCACCTTTTATAAATGTATAACCACACCTCTGTGTTTATAAAATAATTCATAAAGTGAATTTGATTTTATTCTTAGGTCTTCTCTGGGTTGGTTGATAAAGTAGTGGTTTTCTGGGATGTGGAGCCCTTCGGACTGTTTCCTAATCTCTATGGTAAGCCCTGCTCTCAGTAGCACCCAGAAGATGTTTTACTCGCCGCTCCTCCACATGAAACCAGTATGAAAATAGCCCTTTGAAACAGAGATGTAGGAGTGGCCTTAAATTATTCAAGATCCTTATTATTAATGAATGCACTTTTGTGAGTCCTTAAAAATGGTGCAGCCTCCAATGTTGCTGTTTTGCGTGCACTTTCTGGGCAGTCAGAAGAAGAAATCAACAGATATCAGAATGTTACATCAGGAAATCTGTTTTTACTAAGCTTTTCCCTGTTCCAGAACTCCTGAATCATTAATACAGAATGTTTGACTACAGTGCTTCTCCGGAGAAACTAACAAAGGTAAGGATCTGGCATGGAGGCAGATAGAGTGGGTCTTCAGCTGTACTGCTGACTGGTTGGGAGGCCAGAGCCTTCTAGACCCACCTGGGAACTTCCAGGAGAGCTTGGGGGAGCATTTCTACATCAAGAAAAGTGCTAATCTGAATTCCCATGCTACGGCTTTTCTGCACAAATCTTACTCATTTCCAGAAGGTTCCAAAATACATTTGGAACCTTCCTAGGTTTTGGCAAGTTTCGAATCACCACTATTGCTATCATATTTTTAAAGAACTAATGTAATCAGGTTTTGCTTTAGTTTCTCTCTTTGTACAATGTTATTTGCCCAAATAATTTGCCGTCTAATTCATTCATTCATTAGAAGGTGGGTAAAGTGCTATTTAAATTTAATTATCATGTAACTTTGTAAAACAGTTTTTAACTGCCCATGTTAACAAATATGTCTTTTTTTTTTAGAACAGCATAAACCTTTCTTATAGCATTATCCATTCTTTTTGTTGAAAGTGAATATATATAACATTATATATGTGTATACACAAACACATACACTCATGAGGACTTCAAAAAGTTCATGGGAAAGTGGAATTAAAAGATAAAAAATATAAACTTTATTTCTCAATATAGCTCCATTAAGTTCAAGACACTTTTGTAAGCAATGAGACCAACCATTTAGTCCATCCCTGAAGAACTGAGGGTCCTGGGAATCGAACCATGTCAGTGCAGCCTTTTTTACACTATTAACTGAAGAAAAATGGGTGCCCTTTAAAAATTTGTTAAGATTAGGAAACAAAAAGAAGTCAAAAGGAGCCAAATCAGAACTGTAAGGTGGATGCCTAATGATTTCCCATCAAAACTCTCACCAAAGTGCCCTTGTTTGGTGAGAGAACTGTGAGGAGCACTGTCACGGTGCAGAAGGACTCTCTGGTGAAGCTTTCCTGGGTGTTTTCTGCTACAGCATTGGATAACTTTCTCAAAACACTCTCATAATAAGCACATGAGTCTATAAGCAAAATATCTTGAACATCCCCCAAAATTCCTTTGCTCTTGACTGGTCCACTTTTGCTATGACTGGATCATTTCCACCCCTTGGTAGCCATGGCTTTGATTGTGCTTTGTCTGCAGGATTATACTGGGAAAGCCATTTTTCCTCTCTTGTTAAAATTCTTTGAAGAAATCCTTCAGGATCTTAATCCCATTTGTTTAAAATTTCCATTGAAAGCTACACTTTTGTCTGCAGCTGATCTGGGTGCAACAACAGTTTTGGCACTTGTCACATGGAAAGCTTGCTCAACTTTAATTTTTCAGTCAGAATTGGGTAAGTTGAACCAACCAAGATATCTATGGTGTTAGCTATTGTTTCTACTGTTAATTATTAGTCCTCTTCAATTAGCACACAAACAACATTAATGTTTTCCTTGTAAACTGATGTGGATGGTTTACTGCTACAGGCTTCAACTTCAACATCGTCTTCTTCTTCTCTCTTCTTAAAACACGTTATCCATTTGCAAACTGCTGATTTCTTTGTGGCATTGTCCCTACAAACTTTCTTAAAGCATCAAGCTTCCACCAGTTTTCCTCCCAAGCTTCACCATAAATTTGATGTTTGTTTTTGCCTCAATTTTAGCAGTATTCATGTTGTTCTGATAGGGGCTCTTTTCAAATGAATCTTTTATCCTTCTTAGTGCTTCAAACTAGATCCTGTTCAGATGTGTGGTAACAAGTTAATATGAGTTTATTTTGGTGCAAACAAAATTTTGAAATCCATGCATAGTTTTTTTTACAATATGTATTTTCCATGAATTTTTTGAAGACTTTTCATGCATATGTGTGTGTATGTATAATTTGAACAATAGGTGCAATATGAAACAATTAACAAGATAATTGGCTACTCTTTTAAAAATATTAACTGAATTCTATGTATACACATATATGTTTATGTATATATGTAATAAATCAATAGTATTTATTAGAAATTTAATATCTAGAATTATTTATCATGGTGTTATTAGAAATTTAAATATTGAGAGCTTCAAATTTTGCTCTTAAAATTCATGTAAATTTACATTTTCTGGAAGTGAGAATACAGTCCACTCTTAAAATTAACATGAACTCGAAGGTTCTAAGTACTCACAATATTAGTCTCAGGAGCTCTTCTCAATTTTCTGAGAAGCATGGCTGGTATCAGATGCCTCCCTCTAACCCTGTGTTCCTCCTTTTTATCTCCCAAGAGATTTCACAGTCTCCCTGAACACCTTGTAGTCATTGTTCCCAGGTAAAATGATTTGTTTAGTTGCCTTTTTTCCCCAACTTTCATCCCTCCACTGCAAAACCTTCTGCTTAAATTATTGGGTTAAAAAATTGTTGTTGCTGCTGTTGTGGTTGTTATGGTTTGATATGAGGTCTCACTATGTTGCCTAGGCTAGACTTGAACTCCCAGGCTCAAGCAATCCTTCCACCTCAGCCTCCTGAGTAGCTGGGACAACAGGCCTGCGCCACCACACTCACCTTCATTTCTAGTTACAAGGACCCTCTTGCCATCTGTCATTCTAGAAAATTTGTGAAATGGACCCAGATAAACAAGGTGAGTATTATTGTCAAGTTTCTGAGCACAGTTTGTAAACAAACAAATTAGGCACAGATGTTGTATTTTCAGACCTGTGAGTTGCAAAAGAGTAAACATTTGGCAAATTTCTGGCTGAAAGGGAAACTATTAGGTGGTTAAAGTGACTTGATTTTCTCTCTCTTCTAAACAGAAATTCATCATTTATTGAGGAGTATTTGTTTTTCTGTCTCCAGAACATCAAAACTAATTTAACAAAAGACTTGATATCAATATAATTACATTTTAAATTGCTATACAAATACGTAAAAAGTATCTTGTCTTATTTTTATCTATATTCATTTGGTACTATTGAAATGACATCATTGTAGATATTTAACACCAGGAGTAAGTTCACAGTACTGTATGGCCCCAGAGTTGGGAGAAAGGTCCCACAGTTTCATCACTATATGAATATTTGATAAATGGGTATGGAGAAACTAAGTGCTTCTTTCTTCCAACATCTCTGATTGCCAACTTAGGCCCAGGCCTGGTCTGTGACATTTTTATTGCTGTATTTATTTGCAGCCTTATTTCTCTTGCCAAAATCTAAATTGTTAATCTTGTTTGTTATATACAAAATTATGAATAATTCAAATTATCTTTGGCTTTCCCAAACTCAGGCCCTCGTATTAATACACTTAACACAAAGCAGCAAGTAATCCATTCAAAGCTCAATTCCCTCTCCGTAATACAGTGTTTCTCAAATTTAATGTGCATCAGAGTCACCTGGAGGGTTTGTTAAATGTTGCAAAGTTTGTGATTCAGTAGGTCTGGGGTGGAATCCAGGAATGTGCATTTTTAACAGGTCCCCAGGCAATGCTGATGCTGCTTGCCTGGGATCACACTCTGAGGACCAAGGGCCTAAAATATCTATTTCTGGATCATCAAGCTAGATGATGGACTGTTGAAAGAGATTTTATTACACCCATCTTAGTATCTGAAAATGAGCATCATTATGTGGCTAAGCAAAAATAAGAATCATTGAAAGCAAAAACTGTTTCCCAATCAAATTGCTTCCATGCACAAGAACACAAGTATCTTTGTCATTATTTAAGTATATAAAACTATTTTGTTCATAGCTTCGGGCATGATACATCCAGCAATTTCTTCCTCTCTTGAGTTTTTTTTCCACTAACAGAAAAAATATAAAACTTTAGCCTTGAGAAAGTAGGTCTGGCGGTGGATCACCTGGAATCCTCATTCATTTTCCATGTTGCACCGTATCGCAGCTTGCCGTGTTGTGCCGCATGACTTCATCAGATGAGGCTGCAGAGCATAACTTAACAGAAGTGTGATGGGCCAGATGGTAGAACAGCTACAGAGTGGTTCCTCCACCAAGAGCAGCATCTGGAAACTCGCAGAGCCCCTGGTTTGCTGACTCTCTGTATCCATTTGGTGCATCTGGAAGGAACCAGGGTGCAAAAACTGGCAGGTTTCTATGGGGTGAATCAGGTTGGGGTGGGGAGGAAGGCTGGGCATTACATTTCTGTTAATTATTAATACTTCCGCACTATTATGCCTACTCTCCATTTGTTTTCCTTTTCCAGACATAGGGCAGAGGTATTTCTGAGTTCTCCTGTTCTATAACACTGGAGTCTTTCTTATCTGAACACTTAACATTTTTTAAAACAGAAGGATATTGAATAACAAAACATTTAGAGCAAATTGTAGGTTTTTTATATGTTTGCATCTGTTGAAAAAAGAAGCAAAAAAATATATATGGAGGGTTTTCAAACAAGATCTCTTGTTTTGGTGACAATTTTTAGGCACAGCCCACAGTCCTCTGGAGTGAGTGTTTTCAACTCATGATCGTATGCTGGTCGTTGGATCAGTATATATTCAGGGAAAGGCCTGTGTCTTGCTGACTCCTCCAGGACAGGTCTGTCCTCGTTCAGCACCCTAACCCCCTCCATGGCTTAGCATAGTGCCAGGCACTCAATATTTCTGTGCGTAACAGTTAGACCTTTACCCGACAACACTCAAGAGCAAGAAACATTATTTTCCAAATCAAAATCAAGTCAATGCACTTTGGTATGAAATTCAGACTGAGTTTCAGGAGGATTCATCCTTTGGAGACAGGACCCACAAGGTCATTGCCCTGAACATCTGGTCCAGGCCCTGATATGAGGTACCATGTGGCCACCACTTGTTATGCTCTTTGCCTTTACCCCCCAGTCCCAGTCAGGCTCCTCCCAACTTCCTGTCCAGGTTCCAGCCTCTCCCCCTTCAGGAAAACTCCAGATTAATTGTTTGATGGGCCTGTCTGTCCTTTCACATGAAGGCCTGAATAGGGTTGATTTCGAGGGTGGCCCTTAAACACAAAGAAGCTGTTAGGTCTCCCAAAGGAGCAAAAAGAACTTAGACCTTGGAACACACACAGGTTGGACAAGGAAACATTGCCTTTCCATTCTTTAAATTCTCCCATTGCTGCAAGCACAAGAAAAAAAATTAGTATCACTGCAAATTATCCTGCAACATATGTTTGACTCAATGAAATCCACCAGACAATTTCTTGTCTGATATTGTTTAGGGCCTGCTAAGCCAGGGCTGAAAAACTGGCTGCTTCTACTCACAAAACTCCCCCAGCACAGAGACTCTACCTCCAAATTGCCTGCATTTTATGTTAATCAGTCAAATTGAAAGTACTTTGGCTTTCTTTAAGGCTTAGTCGCCTCAGCATAATACATACAAGTAAGTCTTGGTCTCAGAACTTGCTTGTACATGAAAACCTTGCCTTTAGAATGAGCATTCGGGGTCTGAATTCTTTCCAGCTGGTATTTGTGAACACAGGAAATGTCGTAGATGCAAAGTTGCTTGGCAGTTCTTTCCAAAGGCTGTGATTGGTTTCTGCTTTCACTTCCCATTGTAACTTCCAAGTCTTCACTATTCCTCAAGTTTTCTACCCCACCCCCTCCTCTTTACTCTAAGTGGATGAACTTGTCCTCAACTTCATACCGAAAACAGAAGCCTTTGGACATGACCATCTCCCCACTCACCCTCATATCCTTTTCTTCTTCCTCTCAGGGGCTGAGGGATGGCTTCTTGCTAAGGCTGCTTCCTTCACCTGCGCATTTTCCTCCCTCTGGTGTCTCTACCTTGGGACTGTTGATCAGTTAGCAATATTTCAGTTGCCCAAGATAGAAAACTTAGCTTAAAGAGGCTTCATTACCTTACATAATTAATAACCCAACCAAGAGATCTATTGTACAGCATGGTGACTATAGTTAATAACAAAGTGTTATATTCTTGCAAATTGCTAAAAGAGTATATTTTAAGCATTCTCATCACAATAAATGATAAGTATATAAGGTATGTATATGTTAATTAGCTTGATTTAGCCATTTCACAATGTATACATATTTCAAAACAGCATATTGTACACCATAAATACATACGATTGTTATTTTTCAATTAAAATAAATTGAATAAAATAACCCAAGGAAGAACTAGCTCACACTGGGCCCAGACACTGTCACCAGGAAGTGGTTTCTCTTCATTTCCAAGTTCATCTCTGCTCACCTTTGTGTGTTAGTTTCATTCTCATGTGATACACCCTGACAAGAGTAACTTTTGCTTCAATCTATTATTCCAACTGCAAGTCCAGCAGGAAAAAAGTAAGTCTGCTTCCCCAATAACTTGAACAAAGAATCCTCGAACCCAGTTTCATCGGTGTGTTATCTGCCTGACTTTGGTTATGTGCCCATTTCTGGGGAGTGTGAGGATGCACTCACTGACAGGCCAGGCCCGGGCCCCGTGCACTCCTGGAAATGGGAGAGTTGGAATTCACACCACTAGAATTTCATGGACTCGGATTAGGGAAAATGGACATTAGGTGGGTGAGGGAACATGCGCCCACCGAGAGGGACTTTGCTACATTGAACACTACGTGGATCCCACTTCCTGAGTCCTCAACCTCTTCCCCTCTCCTGGCTCCCCACCCTGACCCATACATACATTCTGGAATCTCTCCTTCCTTTGAAAACCAACTTTGATTTTATGTGTTGTTCCAGCTATGGCTCTCTTGTCTTCCCTTCAGACTAAAGATCTTGAAAAGTTGTCTGTCTTTATGTCTTCTCATCACCTCTCATTCATCCCTCAATCCTCTGGAAGTCAATTTTGACCCCCTGTGACTCCAAGGCACCTGCTTTTGCTAAGACCTTCAGTAATCAACTTAATCATAAAGACAAGAATCAATAAATTCCCTTTATTCCAGTGTTTTTCAAACTTTAGCTTGCATCAGATTTACCTTGAGGGCCTATTAAAGGGCCTGGAGTTGAAGACTTGTTAGAATTTTGTTAGAAGTCGAATTTCTAACAAGTTCCCAGGTGATGTTGACACGGCTGGTCCAGGAGCCACACTTCGAGAACCACTGCTTTATATAATAATCAGGTAAAACAGGCCATTTTAATTACCTAAACTAAACTAAACAATGAATGCGTAAGACCTTATAAAGCTTTATTTAATGGCATTAAAGCTAATATGAATACATGGTGAGATCTACTCTGTAGTTTTTAATTTTTCTAGATATGAAGACTGATTCTATCAGTCCTAGGGAACAAAATGCTCTGTTGTGAGACAACAAAAAGCTCTGTTGTGAGATTGTTATATATCTCTTGAACTAAATGAAAATCCATTTTGGAGGATCAATGAAACAAATTTAAAATTGTGGTTCCTCAAGGGGAGTAAAAGAGACAATATTTAGTAAGTGTATTACCTACATTTTCTTATTTAAATTATGCAAATGCCCTATGAGGAATGTATTATAATCTCCATTTATCTGATGAAGAAGCGGAAGATCAAAAGTAAACTAGTTTCCCCAAAGGAAAAAGGAAGGCACAGAAGTAGGTATGTCTGACTCCAGAGCTCCCTCCTCTCTTCCACACTGTGAAATGGGCAACTATACACTCTGCGCCTGGCAAGTGCTCAGAAATGCTAGCCATTGCTGTGCTGCTGGTGGTGGGTAGCACTCAAAAGAAGGTATCTTAATAATTCTTTTTATGATGCTAAAAATAATATATACTTTTCATAGAAAACTTGGGTAATATTGACAAGTAGAAAGAAAATAACTATAATCACTAATAATTTGAGCACTCAGACATGGCCACTGTTAACTCCAGATGGCACTAGAAGTTAAGCTCCACGAGGATGGGGTTCTTTATGTGTTTAGTTAAGTGCTATATTTCAGGGTCTTCAAATCATGCCAGAGCCAATAAATAAGAGCTCAATAAATATTTGCTAAGCGAATGAGTGGATAGATAGCTTTGGGGTCTTTTTCATAAATGTTTATACAACTAAAATATATTAACAAAACTGACTTCATATTCGACATATAGTTTTTTTATCCTATTTGCTTCACAAGGCATTGCCTTTTTAAATAAAAAGTAGGCAGACTGATGGAGGAATACTCCCCACTTTCCTGTGGACTCCTCCATTTGCTGGATTTGGAGGGTGTTCTCTAGGGTCACTTGCAGCCCTGGAGTACTGTAAGTCTAGTATTTCTCTCCAGATAGGAAAAAAAAGAGCTCTAGACCTTAATTTCTTCACCTGCAAAATAAAGTAGCACTGCATGATTTCTAGGATTCCCTTCAGGATGTGGGATTTATATAATGAGATGGTCTTTTATCCATATATTTCATGTTTTCTTTACAGATGCTCTTAATGGTGTTGAGAATTCCATTTATAGAACAGCCTTCAAATTACGATCAGTGCAAACTCTGTGCCAATGTAAGTATAGGCTCTCTTGAAACACTTGAAATGATCTGCCTCTGATATGTGATGTAAAATTCATAGAGAAAATAAAAACTCCCCCCCGCCTCCCCCCCCCGTGCACGTGACAGCCAGACTCTGGAAGGCTGAACCATGCATTTAGCCCATTTGTGACCAAGAAGATGTTGGGGGAGGGACATTCAACCCCATGAAGTTTTGCTGACTGATAATAGAAGATAACTGTGAAAGAGAATTTTTTTTTTTTTTTTGGTATTTTTTTCCACCTGGCTTCTAGAAAAAAATTTTGCTTTCCTTTTCAGGATACCAATATTGACACAAAATAAAATTACAAAAAAAAAAATTAGTTTAGGACCTAACCTAAAATTTGTAAATTTATCTAACCTTGTAAATTTAAATGTAAAAATTTTAAATTCCTTCTACTACATAAGATCTGCATTTTCAAGTTGTACCTCTTATTTATGTCTAAACGTGCAAACGTAAGATCAAATGAATAATCCATGGGCCATAAATTTTAAAACAATCTGGAGAATGCCCTGAGACCTGCCCTTTTGCATTAAATTTATATCTGATTGAATGCTATGGTTTTCTTTTCTTGTGCTGTTTTCTAGATAAAATATAGTAAAAACATATATCCTGTGAAAATTCTCCAAAAAGAAATAAATTGGGTTGTAGCTGTGAAAAAGACCAGGCATCCAGCATATCTAAAACTATGGATTTTTCACAAGTTCTTTACTGTATTAACAAAAAATCACTTCATGTGAAATGATTTCTAAAATTTATCATATCAGACCTAAAAGAAGTTATATCATAAATATGACATTTCTGCTGAAGGTGGAAATTTTTCTATTTTTTTTCCTTCTGCCTAAAATGTTATGCAGACCAGTAATTTTCAAATTGGGCTTCACAAAGTATACATGGGTACGAGGTAGGGCTCAAAAATGTTAGCAGAAGTGGGAGGAAGTTTCAAAGGCCATATCCTGGACAAGGACAATGCTGCATTTCTCTGTTTTCCATACAGTGTTTCTGTATCAGGTTCCTTTGAAGAAGGGATTTGGGGCTTTAAAAAAAAAAGTTTTATTTAAATCACTGCTGTAGACAAATAAACTCACTTATAACTATTATTTATTAGTCCAGGAATAAACAAAAGGCAGAATATATTCACTAAAAATTTACTCCCAACTATGCTATGTTCCCAGAGACTTTCTCCCATTAAGGAAAGTTAGCAGCAATTATTCACGTAAGTCTCCACCACTAATGCCTGGCTATGTACAACAATGTCATTTGAAGATGTACATTTTTTTAACTTCTTGTTATCCCTGGCATCAGAAGCAGTGAATATAAATAATACTTATGGGAAATATTTAACAGTACATAAAAATCAGTGGCTGAAAAATTCTACCTAGAAAAGATATCTAAACAAAAATTGAAAACAGAAAAGTCCCAAACACTGAGATAAAACATAATAAGAGTTCCAAGTAGCAGGATCTGGAGCACTTGGCTGCATAAATCTTGCAGGGAGATTAATGGACGCCACTATTATCTGGTTGGCTGTAATATAGAACTCTCAGCAGAAGACAAAAACACCCTGTGTTCAGAAAGCCAGGCCGAGGTGATAGGTTTTAATGATAAAAGAGTTTATGGCCTCCACCACCTGCAGCCAGGTTTTCATTTAAGTCGCATTCCCAAAACCTGCTCCTCTGTTCTTTAGACCCTCCCTTTAAAAGCATATCAGAAAACAAATAAAAATTTTTATTATAGTTGCTAGGTTTCTTATCTGTGAGGTTGATTTATGAAGCAGAGAGAAGCACAGGGTTTTATCATGTCACAGGCTGAAGGATTGTAAATGCCAGCAGCTCTTGGTGCTTCTGATATCCCCACCTCTCAGATGGTACGAGTGGCTGTTTATTAATTTTGTCTGTCATTCTCTCTCTGCCAGAAACTGTAGGGTTAGCTCTATAACTTTCTTATTTCTGTTCATTGCCTTGTAAAATGTTTAGGAGAAGATGGTAAAAAAAAATCTTCGGTATAAGAAATAAGCAATTAGTTTTTGTAAGCAACTCTAGTTTTAGGAAGTGCCTTCTCTAGATAGTAATACTGATGCAACCAACATCAGGGAAGGTCTTACCCTGAAGAGTCTGATAATTCGGCAATTGCTCCTTTAAAGAGATCGCTGGGTTTGTTTTTTTTTAAACTACAGCAATTGCATTGTAACACACCATATTCCTTATGAAGCCAGTCTGCAGACAGGAAAAAGCATATTTGGACATGAGAGGTAAATTTGCTCAATCCACTTAATAAAGAATATAAAAATTGTTTTCCCCACTTTTCACTGCAGTGTCGTAACTTCCTTGGAAAGCTTATTTTTCAAATTTCTCACTCCCCCTTTTAATTTCATTCTATAAAACACATCCTAGAAATTGTACTGATAATAACATTATAACTAGGCTTTACTAACACATGCACTTTTCCAAAATGGAAATGACTATCAGAATAGTAATGCCTGAATTATGCACAAGAGATATGTGTCCAAATCAGTGGTCATATTTAAGTCCCTTTAAAGAAAAATAGCTCCAATAAAAAGACAATCTTAATTAAACACTAAGTGACATTTGCTTTATTTGGAGCCTTTTGTTCCCATCAGAAAATAAGGCTTAATTCTTCATTTGCTTCCTACAGTGGACTTGATTGACAGCTCCCAGATTCAGCACGTCCTACTACATCGAAGTTTCTGGGAAGCCAGGGAGCGCTCCCTCTCTGTGCAGCAGCTTTTGCAGGCACTCCAAGAACTGTTTCAGAGAGCCAGGGAGGAAAACCCAGGACAGGTGCATCCCAGAGCCTCCGAACTCACTCTCAGCCTTCTCATTACAATGTATGACAGGTGAGGGTGTGGATATCACAGCATGACCTCAAGGGCAATGCATAGTTGTCACTGGTCATTTATCATTTGGTACTGTCTAATGTTTGCTTGAGGTTTGGTATGTAAGAAGTGTGTGTTTGTTTTTCACACATTTATTCTTCATTAAGGATGGGAACAAAGAACTAAATGCTTATCAGCTTTACTAATATAAATGACATAGCATAAATGGATGGCAAAAAGGGGGAAAAATTCCGCATTACCCTTTCTTTCATACAAACTCACTTCCACTATTAGGGAAGCATGCACACCCTTTGTTAGGGCAATTATACTATTGCCCTAACAAAGGGCAATAGTGTGTGTGTGTGTGTGTGTGTGTGTGTGTGTGAAAAACGATACTTTACTCCTGAGTCGCTGATAGCTTACTTCTTTGCTCATGTGTTTGTAATGCATTATCACAGTTGGTCTTGTTTTGCTTTTAGGCTGGAATGAGGTTGAATAGCTGTGCACGGATGGCTAACCTATAAACCAATTTACACCATGCCAAGGGCTGATCACTTACTTATGCTCTGAAGTCAGTGGTTCTGCTAGTGTGAGTGTGTGAGTGTGTTTTGCTGAGCTATAGGGTTTATGTTCCTCTGGCCTCTCCTCAATTTGGTTCACCTTATGTAGTCTTTTTTTTTTTTCCCAAGCTAGCTCACAGCAGCCTCAAACTCGTGGGCTCAAGCAATCCTGGTGCCTCAGCCTCCCAAGTAGCTGGGACTACAGGCATGCGCCACCATGCCCGGTTAATTTTTTCTGTGTACATTAGTTGGCCAATTAATTTCTTTCTCTTTATAGTAGAGACAGAGTCTTGCTCTTGCTCAGGCTGGTTTCACACTCCTGACCTTGAGCGATCCCTCCTCGGCTTCCCAGAGTGCCAGGATTACAGGCGTGAGCCATCGTGCCCAGCCGACCTTATGTAGCCTTGACTCATTCTATAGAATGAACTTTTAAAAAATCATAGTGAATACAACACATTTGTAAAGCAGAGAAAATGAGCAAAGAAGAAGAAATACTACCCATCAGCCTGCCTTCCAGAGGCAAGCATGGTTTTAACCATTGGGCAATTTCTTTACAGTTATTTCCTTTTCTAGTTTGTTATTTATTTATTTAATTGCACAAATACTATATAAACAGCGCAAGTTATGTTTTCATGATTTCAGCCTCCTCACACAATGAGCTTCTTACTGTCATTTCTACTATCCGTGCCTGTCTCTAACAGTCCTCCTGCCTTCGATAAATTGTTTTGCAAAGGGGAATTAGGCTCTGAGTGAGGAGCTGTGAACTGATAATTTTTTTTCTTCTTCTTCTTCTTCTTTTTTTTTTTTTTTTTAGAAAAAATGCCTTTTGGTCCTTGTTTCTGTTGTTGGTTTCCAGGCAGCTGAGTCCTAAGGAAATGAGACTATCTGCTCCATGAAGACAGGGTGCACCCCTGCATGCCTGGTGCCTGGTACAGTGCTTAGCACGGAGGAGGCACCTATAAATATTTTCCGAATGAGTGAATGCACAAATGAATGAATGGTGAAATATGTTAATTCAAAGTTCTGTTCTGCTAAATTCTAGGTCTAGGAAAAGAGGCCATGAAAAGCTAGAACTTATAGCACCATGTTAGAAATACCCACTAGTAGTTACAGTCTTTATAAACCACTACCCCAATAGTAATACCACCTTCCCATTCTTGTCTGTGTTTTGTCACCATGCAGCACAGGAACAGGTTTTCTCCAGCTCACACCTGTGGCCGCAGCCCTAATAGCCCTCTCAGGGGACAGCCCTCTTACAAAGTACAGAGGTAACATACAGAGCAGTTTTGAGTGTCCTGAGTGCAGTGACCCTACACCCCACACCTGTTACCCTCTTTACCCACCATCCCCATCACAACGGCTCTTGCTCTTCACCATGTTCTCAGCATGATTTGTGTGTTTATTGAAGACATGCTTTGGAGAATTTAGAGTTTTTAAAGATTTATGCTTCCTAATCATTCATTTCCTGGTTATTCTTAATATTTATTTGTTTAGGGATTATCCAGACACCAGTAATTATTATTGCTTTAAAGACTGGGAAGACCCTCACATTTCCATTTACTAACTTCATGATCTTCATCATAGATGCACTGAATTACCAAGGAGTTGAAATGGGAATGGGTTTTCATTGCTTATCAAACTAGAATATTTTACACTGGAGGCCTTCAGAACAGCAAGCAAATAATCAAGAATATAACTTTCCCTTCCCTTTCCCTTCGTACCCACAGAGACTGCTCATTCGAAGCACACACTCTTTGAAGATACATTGCAAGCATTCAATTTAAAGATTTCTTTTCCCTTTACCTGTCCAGCTCTTTTCCAGCTCTATGCAGAAAATAGCAGAAGAGGTTATGATTCTGGGGCCCGCATGACTCGAAAGGTTTTGAGAAACCTTCTAACAGATCTACAGCAGGTAAACCCCTAATACTTAAGAATCCTAAATTTGTTTCAGTTATATTAGACACATTTATTGTTAAAGATTTTGATGCTTACGTGTCGATCCTACCTTTATCTAGCTCTCCCTGCAAGCTCTCCTCTCTGTAGCCACTGCTGTTACCAGAGCACAGGTCTCAGTAACTTCAGCCTCACCTGTAGCCATTGCGTCCTAGCTGGCGTCTCCAGCTCCAGCCTTCCCCTTTGTTAACTCTTCTTCCACACTCAGCCAGTGACCTTTCCAAAATGCAAACGTCCCCCATGCCTGAAATTCTTCATTGGCCGTTCATGTCTATGGAATAAAGCCTAAACTCCTTAGCACTGCAAGTAAGCAAATCTTTTGTGATTTGACCCAATCCTTCTCTTTTAAAAAAGAAGTAGAATCACAATTCTCATACAAACATAAAGTGAACATTTGTCAAAAAATCTAATTCGTTAATTAAAAGAAAGTGCCCGTAAGACGTTATAACTAGTCCAAAGGAAAAAGACCAAAGAACAAACGGATAGATTAGGAATATTAAAGTGAATTTGAAGGTGGATGCAAAACTGTCTTGGGGGAAAAAGGGAGGATTGTCCCTTCACCTGGACGTAATTTATTTAAGAATTATTTACATTCCTATCAGTTTTCTGCAAGATAACTTAAATCTCTACAGAGTTGTAAACTAGCCTAGTCAAAGACAATGATGCCTGTCTCTATAGGTTCAGATAATCATGATTGAAAAGATAATCCAGTAGTCTCTTTTGCTTATTCCAAAGTGTTTACATTTTTAATATTTTTTTGACTCCTGCATAATCAAAATCCTTACTGTCCCTGACAAGCCAGAAGTTCTCCGTGCCTGACTCCTGCAGTTCCATCTACCTGAAACACCATCGCTTATCCTTTCACTTGACAAACACTACTCATCTTTCAAGGTCATTCAAATATTAGTCACCTCCTTGCTCAAAGCTTCTTTAACTCTTTCTGCATAACTTTGCTATAGCACTTGCCAAATTGCACTGGATGCTTCCCCACTAAACTGTTTTCTCAAGGGTAGGAATTATATTTCCTTCATCTTAAATCCCAGTGCCTTGAACATGTCTGACACTAAAAGGCCTCCACAAATGCTTAATGAAACTGTAGGTGAAATGCAATACTCAAATCATTATGATGTCCATCATTTCCTGTGTTTCAAGAAAGTATTATACAAATTCGATATTGTTTTTGTCTTTACCAGGCAAGGGCATTTAACCTCCTTAAGGTAAATATGTTTCTTAAATGTTTTTAAATGATGTAAAATCGTGTAATCAAGCAAGAACTTCCGCAAATAGATGAAGCAGGCTCCCGGTTGTCTTGTGTGTAAGTGCAATTGTCCCACTGTACCTCCTACCCTTCTTTGAAGGATGTCTCTGTTCTTCCAGCCCCTGTAAAATTCCCAAATTGGGTTTTTTTTTTTGTACTGGGAAGCCTTGGTAACTTTCTGTCATTTTTCTCCTGGCTCTGGACCAAGGATTCTGAACTGGGAATAGTCCTGATGGGAGCCGGAGGAGTAAAGAGAAATATTATCAAAATCTCTAAGACAGGCTGTATGATTTGGAAAAACCTATCCAAAATTACTCTTCCTTTGATTTGGTCTTACTATTAGTATTTTATGTTCATGTTGATCACAAAAAAATTAGCATTTAACTTAAATTGCAAACAATATTGAAGATGTTCATGTTGCTTCAATGGAGCAATGATTTCTTTTTAACTTATAATATCATTAATACAATATCAGACTCCACTACCTCCGAGCTGCGCTGGTGGTTGTGGCAGCACGTGGATCCCAGCACCAGTTTTCTGCTGGTCCCCAGGCGTTTCTCAGGGAGCCGTCTCGGCAGAGGCTTTTCCAACCTATCCACTCGAGTATGCAATCAGACTGGTGAGACTAGCGTGTTTAGAAAGCAGATGTGATGAAAGGAGACGGACTGAGGGGCGTTTTCCTTCTCCCGTAGAGTAGAATTCTCGGTGCTCTCCTTCTGACTACCTGCTCCCACAGCCCTGAAAATCTGCCCTTGTTCCAAGGCTCCATTGAGGCCAATGAGCTATTGAACGAGCAGCACCCACAGCACTCCCCCTCCCCTCCCCACACACCCCGTGCATTACCACGCTCCTGAGAAAGCCTCAGGAAGGCATAGATTTGCACAGCAATTTATCATCCCATTAACTTCCATTATGGACTCGGTCATAGATGGATTCCCGCAGAAAATTCCAGGCCCCGCCACAGGATTCAGAGCCTCCCCCAAGTGTCATAATTACTATTTCAAGCGGTGTTCTGCCTGTGCCCGCAAGCCACCTAGCCACGGTGAATGCTTCCTAGAACACCTGCAGGAAATTAGTCAAATAGGCAATTCATCCGCAAAATCTTTGCGCACACAATTATAGGCAAAAATGTAGGTTAAAACTCACTACGGAAGCGAACTTTCTTTTGGCTGGTGTGGGAATCACAGAGCTGGTGCGTGGAGCCTATGTTATCCACCCCCCTATTTTTACAGTTGAGGTGAAACTCCTTCCCCAGGCCTCAAGGACACCAGAGGATGGTGAGTGTTGAATTAACACAACAGTCGAAATAAGTGGTCCAGTTGTTCATCAGCCCTGGCTGGGCAAAAGATGAGTAATGAGTTATTTTTTCAGACAAAGGCCAAATAACATAGGGAGTAGTTACTTATGTTGGACTGGCAGGGTTATTATCAATTTAAAGTACAAGCCATCTTGTCACTATTACGCAAATGTTTGTTGACTTCTGCCTGGCTAATTGTCAGCAAAGAGATTCTAAGTGCCACTTTCCTGATTAGAAGGATGTTTATTTGAGTTGATGGACTCAGCAGGGGGTCTTTGAGATTACTTCTGAGCTTGCAGGCAATGCCTGCTGACAGCTTGTGCTGCAGAAGACATCAGATGTGAAATTAGGACCCGTGACCAAATGGGAATAAATGGAGGTGACAAGTACATGTATCTGTGCATATAGATGATGTCAGAGCCAAGTCCCTGGCCGTCTTGGCAGTCACAACAGGTTCTTAGTCCCTTAATTGAACTCCTTATGGTGACTGTGGTTGGAAGATGGAAACCTCTGAGGGAGTACAGATTGAGCCATTGGAATATATGTAAGGTCAGGATATGACAAGCTTTGTAAAAACCCTTCCACGAAGGGTAAGGCATCTTAGAGTGAGACCTCAATTCTGCAGTTAACTTGCTTTTTTGACCTTGAGCAAAATATCATGTCTCACTCACCCTTTATTTTTTTATTTCAAGAAAATATGAGCATACATACATTTTGGTTGCATTTTATATCTTTGCCTCTCCCTAGCTAGGGTTAGAGGTATGTCCTTATTTGACAAATAAAAATTGTATAATTCAAGATGTACAACTAGATGACTTGACATATATAAATATTGTGAAATGATTACCATGGTCAAATTAACACATCTATCCCCACCCATAGTTCCCATGGGGGGGGGGGTGGAATGTGAGGACACTTAAAATCTGCCCTCGTATGAAATTTCAAGTAAATGATACAGTATTATTAATTATGGCCACCATGCTGTACATTAGATTCCCAGAATTTATTCATCTTATAGCTGAAAGTTTGTACCATTTGATCAACATCTCATTTCCCTCACCCTCCCCAAGCTCTTGGTGACCACCATTCTACTCTGTTTCTATGAGTTTGACCTTTTTAGATCCCATTTGTAAGTGAGATCATGCAGTATTTGTCTTTCTTTCTGGGCCTGGCTTAACACTTAGCATAGTGTCCTCCAGGTTCATCCATGTTGTCGCAAATGACAGAATTTCTTTGTTTTTTAAGGTTAAGTTGTATTCTGCTATGTAAACACACAACATTTTTAAAGTCCATTCATTTGCTGATGGACACTTAGGTTGTTTCCACAACTTGGCTATTGTTAATAATGCTGCACTGAACATGGGGGTGTAGATATCTCTTCAACATACTAATTTCATTTCCTTTCACCCCTTGTTTCAAACGAAGACAGTGATTATTGCCCTAGCTCAGAGACTGGCATTCAGGAGTGTTTGAAAAGGTTTTCCTTGAAACCATTCTAAACTTCAAGACAGTATCATTGTGATCCTCATTTTATAGATGTACAAGGGCAAGGAAAGCTTAAAATAATTTGGGGTCATAAGAAGTGAAACAATGGAAGCAGTGCCTTTATCACCCCATTGCCAGACTTTCTTCCCTCACCCTCCTCCCTCCTCTTTTTCCCACTTGTTCATTCATTGTCTCAACCCAAACATTGCAGAAACCTCACAAGTTTCTTCTATTTGCTTGGGCTGAGACTTCATCTGGTCTCAGACACCCAATACTAGTGACGCCGTGGCTGTGAGCTGATTGGGAAGGCCACATACTTCTCCATTTCCTAACAGCTGACATGAGGTTGCCTCTTTTGCAGATCCCAACTGTCGTGGGGGAGAGTCGTGCTCTGTGCTCTGTGGAAAGTGCCACCCGCAGCTGTTTCCAAGGGGTGAGTGCCATGCAAATGTCCCTGGAGTTGGGGGCAGACCCACTGGAAGAGTTTGCTGACTGATTTAAATTACAGACCTAGTCTACACAGCATCTAAGGCAACTAAATTTAAGAGGTAGACTTATCTTCAGCTTTTCATATAATAAACTTCTTCAGCAGAGCTGACAGAAGTAGTCAGAAAAGAAAATGAAAATACAGAGGTATGCCTAAACCTACATCTCAGCCTGCCATTGTTTTTCAGGTGTTGAGCCCAGCAATCAAAGAAGAGAAGTTCCTATCTTGGGTGCAGTCCGAACCGCCCATCCTCCTGTGGCTCCCGACCTGCTACCGATTATCAGCCACTGAAATGGTCACTCACCCTGTTCGGTGCAGTGTCTGCAGGACCTTCCCAATCACGGGACTGAGGTACAGTCGCCGTCAGTATTGTGTGGACGGTCATTCTCCAAATGGGTCTAGGGCTGGAGCTGCATCTCTCCAGAGTCTGTTTGAGGTCCCTCTCACCCATCTGGAGCTCAGTTGACATTTTGGCTTAATAATTCTCTGCACAAGGCATCCTGGTTGATTATAAGTTATATTTTATCTTCCATAATTGATGGACTAGTAAATTCTTCCACTGGCATATACTCTGACTACCATGTTTCCCCAAAAATAAGACCTACTCATAAAATAAGCCCTAGCAGGATTTCTAAGCATTTGTGCAATAGAAGCCCTACCCCAAAAATAAGACCTAGTGATGGGCGTGGCTACGCAGCGTCTCTGTACAACCCGTGCATTGTGTCACTGAGCGGTAAAGAAGATGAGCAGCCCTTCTCACCTGCCCCATGAGAGCTCTATTGCTCTACATGAGAGATGGGGGCCAATAGTTCTAAAGGAAATAGAGTCACAAGAAATTCAGAATGGAATTCGGGGTTTGGAGAGTTATAATGATGTTCCAGAAGAAGATGACTTAACTATATTTGAATAAATGTAGATTGTTGTACCATACTTTAAAAAAATAACACATCCTCTGAAAATAAGCCCTAGGGTGTCTTCTTGAGGAAAAATAAATATAAGACCCTGTCTTATTTTCGGGGAAACACGGTAGTATATATTTTTATTCTTCCAAGGAGGAAAAAAAATTGTCTTTTGCTCCAAAAATGCCTGTTAAATACTTTGGAGCCATTGATAACAATATAAATATATATATTTGTAAGTGCTCAACGAATACTAAGCTGAGCAGTTCACATGGATCATTTCACTTAAAAAGTATTGTAAGCCCACACAAAAGGTGGTATTATTATCCAAATTTGCAGAGAAGTTAAATAACATGCTTGAGTTCACAGGGTTAGCAAGCCACAGAGGCTGGTGGCCTAAATCCTAGTCCCTGCTTTGCAACCATGGCGCTGCACTGCCTCCCTGTGCACACAACTGCAAACAAGGTCTCAGACCCACAGGACTGGTCAGCATTTGTGAGAGCAACTCAGGCTGGATCTTCTTTCTCTCCACCTAGAGCAAAGAGCAGATATGAAAGCTAGATTTGGGGGTGTGAGATTCAGATCTTTCCATGGCGTTGAGGATGACAGTCAAAACCCCACATTAGAGAAAGAGTGCTGTAGGTCTCCCATAAGTAAAACAATAAGGAAGTAAAATTAGAGTCATTATTGGGGAGGGGAGGGGAGAAAGAAGCCACCAGGTCTAGGCCAGGCATGGGAGATCTCATTAGTCGTGGTGAGCGAGCACAGGTGCAGGGGCTGGAGACGTGGTAGGACTGAAGCTTCAGGACACCCAGGTAAACACGAGTCAAAGATGGGGGTTTCCAGAAGGAGAAGTGGCCAATAAGCCCCAGGGTGTGGCTCTTACTCACTTCGTTCCCCCTCCCTTCAGGTACTTCCTCACCTTAACTAGCCCAGAACTTACATATGCTCCCACAGATATAGGTTTGCTGGGTCCACTAAAACACTGGAAATTGAGTTTAAATTTTGCTGAGAGAATGAATTGGGTTTGCAGAGAATTCAGAGGACACAGTGAAACTTCACTCATGCAAAACTCTGCAAATATTAATAAGTGAACTTTAAACAATAAAAGGTATAAATGGAAAGGACTCTTGGAAACCAAGCAAACAGGACCAAAGAAATCTCCACATTACAATGAAAAATAAATTCTTTATATTGCACAGTGGAGACATCTAAATACGACTTACCATGTTATCTGCATATTATAATCATTTAACCAATAAGCAAGTGTTAGTTAAGGATAACTACATGCCCTGCACTAGGCCAGGTACAGAATTAACTTTACAATTATATAATACACAACTTTTACATTCAAATATTTTTTCAAAATCATTATGTATAACAGAAAGCAGATATTATCTCTATTCTATAGATGACAAAAATTGAGTCTTAAAGAGTTTGAGTGACTTACTCAAGTCACCCAAAATAGTAGCAAAGGCAGAGGGCAAGACACACCATACTGTAAGTTTCAGAATATGTCCACATCTGTTGAGAATGAGATTAAACTTCTTGGAAATGCCTCTGTGTGAACCATTTTCCCTCCTAGAAGTACCAGGCAATGCACAGGTGTCCCATATACAGAAAGCTGGGTGCCCTGGGCAAGGCTTCTAACCTCTCTGGACCTCATTTCTTCTTAAGTAAAATAGGCAGGGTAGATCAGTGATATCTGAGGCTTCTTTTAGCGCTAATCTTCTGAGTCTATTAAAAATTGCCTGGATAGATTACAATCCTAACTTTAAACTTGTGTTTCTGGCTCTCAGAAAACTCAATCAATAGCTTTGGTGTTAATGAGATCTATCAAGTCATTTTAGAGAAGCAGCATTCACAGATCTGCAGGTAGCTAGAAGAGGACGAAGATTTGGCCTTCTAAAGAAAGAGAAGATGCAAAGACTAAACGTTGTCCCTCATCCAAGACTGAAATTCTAGAAGGACATGTCACATTTTTGCTCAGTGATAGCCATGTGAGGTTGAGATGAGATTAGGTGAAAACCTGGGTTCTGTACTGGTAAAGCATCACAGCAGACTAATCTCATTACTCGTGTGACGATCTCTCTCCTACGCTCCCCACCCCTGTAGGTAGTTCTGAAGCTGGAGGAGCAAACTCAAGGGCAGAGTCAGCCACCATCCCAGACAGGTTGACTGCAGCCATTTGATAGCGCTGGACAAAGCATCCGGCACAGACAGCTCATCAGATAATCCTCATAAAATACAGCTTATACGGTTGTACACTTCACTTAAAAAGTGATTGCCTTCCCACTTAAGTGTGTTAAATAATTTTCAAAGCTTTGTAAAAATTTTGCAAGGTCAGGAAGGTTTACTAGTCCCGTTTTTTCAGATGAAGAAACTGAAGTTTTTCATTCAACTTCCTTCAACTAGTGTTCATTGAAAACCTACTGTGTACAAGGCATCCTCTAAAACAGTGTGCTTCGGTTTCCAATCCACCTGTTAGTATTGCTGAGTAATGGTGGTATGCGAATTCAAACTCAGGTCTCTGCGTTAGTGGTCTATTCTAGTGGTTAAAATAGGCTGTCAATGCAGATGGTATCCGGGGTCTTACTAAGTAGTTACTTACTATGCAGTTGTGTAACTTTGTGCAAGTTACTTAAATTCTCTTTGATTGTTTCCTCATCTGTAAAATGATGGTAATAGTAAGAATACCTGAAAGAACTTCCACGAGGATTAACCATGTCAACACATGTATGCTGCCTGCACATAGAAAGAGCTCAAAAATGTTAGCTTCTACTATAGTCAATCCATGGTGTTTATTAATATCCTGCTGTGGGACTCAGCATTGGAAGTACAGCAGTGAATGAGGGCAGCTGAGGGCAGGTCTCATGGCATTTACACTGCCCTGCTCCACCTCTAATTGACTATGATCAGACTGAAGACCTTCTGCCATCTGGCCTCAGGGGCTTTCCAAGGTTTTTTCCCTTTGTTCTTCAAGGCAATTAGCAGGTCTGATAGAGCTGACTTCCTCTAAACCTTTTTTGTTCGCCACTGTCTCCATTACCTCATTCCTCCTCTTCTTTCTACCTGGGATTTTCTTGCATAGCATGAATCTCACTTCTTCCATGAAAACTTTTCAGACTACACCAGCCCGTTGAGATCTCCCGCCCTCTCCCTTGATAGCACTAATTTTCCATTGGTGCTTAATCACACATCACCTAATTTTGTTAGTTATTACCTCAAACTTTCATGTCAAATTTTTGCAGCAAGATATGAAACTGGAACAGAATTGGAATTTTGTCCTATGTCTTTTGTAACTTTTAAGACAGAGGTTGAAAACTCAGATGCTTACATGGGCAAGACAAGTCATGTATAGGAGGGAAGTGGGCCGGGTAGGGACAGTGGCCAGCTCAGAGTGTGTACACAGTCCAAATGGAGTAGCTGCCACCTTGTCCTCACCAACTATCACCTTTGATGAAGACAGAGCTGTATGCCACATACACTGCAGTTAGAGAAGAGAATTAAAATATCAGAAAAAAGGGTATAACTCCCTGATGTTTTACAGACAGAAAACACGATCCCACTCAAATACCCTTAAAGTTGCTAACTGATGACTGCTGGGTCTCACCAGCCCTTCCCAGATATCACAACATCTTCCTGAGTGTTATGAGACACCCCTCCTTACCAGAGTGTCTCGAGATTCTCTCCTCTTCTTCTGACCACAAGGCAATGTAGAGTTGTGACTGTTGTGACTGTTAAGGAAAGAAAATCTCCAATGTTGATGTGTCAAGACACTTGGGTGTGGTGGTCACTCAGCTTGGGCTGGTGAGGAACTCCCCCTCTTCTACTGTATTTCTTCCCTGTATACAAACTTCCAGAAAATGACAAAAGCTTATTTTTAAATTCTTTGTCTATGGGTTAATTTCCCCCAATGCCATCTAGGAATGCAGGTCCAATATTATCATATCTTGCAAATTTTCAACAGAAGCCAGAATTCAATTTTATTGAAATCTAGGGATTTTTCAAGTTGGCAATTAAATTCAAAATATTTGAGTGCTTTTTAAAGCAGCTGCACAAAATGTGAATGCAGATTTAAGAGTTTATCCTAAGGATTGTAGCACACAGTACCCTGCATATAAAAGGCACTTGTCATTTTAGGATAATGAATCAGACTTCTATACCATAGTTTGTTGGATCAAACCGTATTAACATAATGCCATATAAATATGATCAAAAGAAGATTTCTTTGAGTAAATAAACACATCAGAGTCATTTAATTCCTATTCTATAAAGTTTGGGAGAAACTTTATAATTACTTAATAGCTCAGACATCTTCTGTATAGTTTTGGAGCACTCATTCTCTACGTACTAGTAAGGATGTAAGCCACACTTCTATTTTAATTGGCAGATACCGCTGTCTGAAGTGTCTCAACTTTGACATCTGCCAGGTGTGTTTCTTATCTGGTCTTCACAGCAAGTCCCACCAGAAATCTCATCCTGTAATTGAGCACTGCGTTCAGGTAACATCTAGTGCAATGTGCCAAAGTATTCATTAAACAAGTCACCATAAGTTATTAGCCATTAAAAAATGTTCCTTCAGTGAAACCCCAAATTCTGCTCCTGTCATACATTATAATATTTAAGACTAAAGAAGTGGCAACTCAACCTTAAATATTTCTCAAAATAAATATGCCCTTTTTACATTGTAGGTTTTCTTTTAGAGACAGGGTCTCACTATGTTGCCCACGCTGGATTCAAACTCCTGGACTCAAATGATCGCTCTGCCTCTGCCTCCCAAGTAGCTGAAAGTACAGGTGCACCACTACATTGTAGGTTTTTATAAAAGCTTTTGCAGACAAGTAAAGGCCAAATAGGGTCCAGTCAGAAGCCACCGATCCCATACTGTGTACTGGAAAATATCTATGAGGAGTTAGAGGGGGAAGCATTAGAAATGGGTTTAAAGGGAAAAGAAAAGTGTTCCGATTTGGTTAAAATGATGCAATGAGGTTTCTAGTTGTTAGTATATTTTTGGAGAAGTTTTCTCTTTTAACATGTCTTTTCCAAAATCCTAAATTTTAACTTTTATTTTTTAGCAGAAAAGTAAATTATCTCACTTTTGACTGAAAGAGTGTATAACTGAGACTTCACAGCTGTCTTTCAAAAATTTTAAAAGAAAATTATAAATACCCAGCAAGTGAATTCAGTTTTTTTCTGAGAAGAAAGGGAAATAGATTAGTAAATTTTAAGCGAGAAGCATTCAAATTTTTCCCAGAAAGAACATTTTCTCTCCATTATTACTAAGTTCCTACGAATCAGTTTCTCTGTGCAGGTGGCAACCCCTCAAATACCACAGGAGTGAAGGCTGTTGATTAATTACCTTCGCCAAGGATTGTTTTCCCTCTTTCTCTGTTTAACCTGAATGGTCCGCAAAAGTCAAGGGCTTGGATCTTGCTAGATAAACTGTATTGACTCAGATCTTCAGGTTCATTGGCCCGCGATCCGCCTTTCTGTTGCCATTAAATGAAAGTCTGGGACTTGCTGGTGTTATAGTGACACCATGTGGTCACTTCCAGATCTTCAGGTTCATTGGTCCATGCTCTCTTTCTGTTGCCATTAAATAAAAGTCTGGGGCTTGCCTACGTTATAGTGACACCGTGTGGTCACTTTGTTATTACACTTTTAATTTCGAGTTCTGGAAACCTTAAATAGTGAAACATCTCATTCCTTCTTTGTTTCCTTTTGGAAGAAGTTCTTAACTTGAGGTGGATGAACGGACTTCAGGTGGTCCATACATCCGCTGAAATTGTGTAAAGAATTTAATGTCTGAGTGTTTTTTTCCTGGAGATAAATCTACTAATTATCATCTAATTCTTAAAGGAATCTACAACCCCAAATGTGGGTGACCATACTTGGTGCTCTTTCATACCTTCTTCTAGCTTTAGATTTCCAAATGACTGGTCACTCTCAGGAAGAAAACTTATGGAAGGAGTTGGGAGTATTTAACTTGGAGATGTATGCTATTTGTGTATGTTTATACAGAGAGGCTGTGAAGAAATTCAGGAAGTAAGATTATTTTTCCAAAGATATAAGAGAAATAATTCCAAAACTTCCATGACGAGCAGTCCACCCCACTAAGGACAGAAGACCATGTTTAGACCGATCTGACATTCTTTCCCTGGTTGACCCCTTCAGCAGATGTCAGCAAAAGAGAACACGAAACTCCTCCTCAGGACCCTCAGAAGCAACCTGCTCCAAGGGCGCTGTAGGTGGAAAGAAGCTACGAGAAGGCAGTGGCTTCTGGGCCAAGTGAATCCAAAGGACGTGGCTAACCACACACAGGCCAGGTGAGGGTCTGTGAGTGACAGTCCCACAGAGTGGCAGCCTGGGGACCCTGGGCGCTGGCTTCCACAGCCAGCACAGGGCACAGGGGAAGGCTTTTTAATGCTGACGATGATCCCGCAGAAGGCAGGAGTGGGGTGAGGGAGACCTCTGAGATACTTTTCCCCTCTACAGTGGCCTTTAATCTTAAAGTAGAACTAAGAGGCAACCATGCCTTTCAGTGATCCATCCAATCATTTAGAGTTATTTCTACAACTAAAGGCATCAGAAAGACACAGAAGATTCTTAATATTAGAATATTTGAATAATTTCGTTCTGTACTCCTAGTTTTTGTAAGTTTGCTTTTGAAAGCCTAATTCAGAATTAATACTTAATTTTAAAAAGAGGAAAAGCAAGACAGTTTCTCAGCACTCAGAGAAGAACGTTAGTTACATTTTAGTGTACCAAAACAGGGATTATGCTATAGACACAATTTTGCATTCTTCTCTTTTCCTCCATTAAATGGAGAACATGTCCCATGCCGTTAGTTTCCAAAACACCTTTTTTAATAGCCTTACTCTCACCCTTATAAGTAAAGTGCCATAATTCACAGACAAAATCCCTTATCATTGAACATTTTGGTTATTTCCAAATTTTGCCCCTTAAAATTCTATAGTCAACATCCCTGTACATGCATTTTCTGCATATTTTTATTATTTTATAAAGATAAACTCAAGTAAAGTCATTGAATCAAAAATTATGAACTTTGTTAATCTTCGAAATTCAGAATGCCAAATTGTGCTCCAGAGGGGCACACCCTGCCACCACCGGTCTATGAAATCACCCATTGCATACCTCATCACCAACCTAGAGATGACTTTTTAAAAGTCTTGGTGACCTTAATTTTTGAAATAACACTTCTTTATAATATAAAAAAGAAGAGGGTAAAGGAAAGAGACAGTATTTCCTTGGGTTTATGATCATCACCCTTTTGAGAGAAAAAAATATCCTATCCACTCACTCCCATTTTATCTGCTGTGATAAGGAATAAATAAGTTTAAATCAGATTGATATTCATTTATTAATTTCTCAGACATCCACCAGTGAATTTCCATCTCAATTCCAGATCCCTGTTTCTATGGTCACTGTTATTTTACAGTTTGCTATAAATATATTTTTATAGCTCTTTAAAGGATAAAGTACACCGTGACCTCACAATTATATGCCATTTATTATCCCATGCACCTAGCAGTTTGTTTTCAATGCATAATTAACCTTAGAGAATTTTAATATCATCTTGATGTATATCTTTAATCTAGCACAAAGAATTTAAGTTTAAAAATAAAAACAAAAATATCAGGTGCCAATTCATCTTCAAGCCAGTTATTTTCACCTTTCACTAGGAGAGTAACAGTAGAACATGTCAATCAATCATTGGATTTATTGGGTACTGGAGATCCTGCCTAAATGCCTACATTCTCACAGTCAGAACAAAATGATCCATACTTATCCGTACTTTAATTTGCATTTCTTTTGGCCACTGATGCCAGACTGATCTTTGACACATCTTTAACATAAATACGATGACATTTCTCACCTGCTCAGCTACCCCAAACTCCCATGCCCTCCTTAAATCCCTCCATTGTCTTCCCCTTGTTTTTAAGCTAAAAGCTCAAAGTTGTAACTGCCTTAGGAAGTCCCGCACATGTGGTGGATAACCTCTGCAGTCTCTTCTATCCCCCCCAGATCTCTGATTCCGCAGCCCTGCTTCTGCCCCACATAAGACTAAATAAGACCAAATCTACTCCCCTCCCTTAAGATTTAAACCATTACTTTAAAAGGTTTTTCGGTTTGTAACTACACATTTATTCCTGTAATGGTTTGATTCCTGACTATCTTCCCACTTGGCTAAAAGCTCTATCAAGGAGTCCGATTTCACTCACTCACTCCAACACCTGGCTCATAAAAGTATTTAAACAATTCAATCCATTAGCAAATCATGTTGGTTCAAAATAGATCCAGACTTTGACGGAGTCTCATTGTCTCCACTGCCACCACCTCAGCCCACCTCTTTCTCTTGCGCTGTTGCAGTGACCCCCTAACGGGTTTCCCTGCTTCCTCCTTGGTCTCCCCACAATGGATCTACTCACGTCGCGTCATTCCTCTACACAAACCCTTTGATGGCTTTCCATCTTCAAAGGAAGCCAAAGTCCTTCCAGTGGCTTAGCTTGGCACTATGAACCCTGTTCCCCACCAGCTCTTAGTCCTCTTCTGTGCCTCTCTGCTGACTTGCTCCACTTCAGCCTCAGAGGTCTCCTTGCTGCCCCTTGACCTAAGGGATTCATGCCCCTAGGTCACCTCCCGCAAAGCTTGACTCCTCACCTCCTAAAGACCCCACCAAAGGCCTTTGCTCAAATGTTGTCTCATCCTCAAGGATGAGACCAGACCACCATTCACCATTTCAGTCCCTGTACTCACTCTGGCACTCCCAGTTATCCTCCCTGCCTTTATTTTTCTTTAAAGCATTTCATCACCATCTGTACCTCATATGTTTCACCCATTTAATGCTGTGCCTCCCACTATAATATAAGCTCTATGAGGGGAGGAACCTTCTACTGTTTCCAGTTGTATTGCCAGACCCTATAAAAATATCTGAATGTGATAAATGTTCAATAGATGTTTGTTGAATGATTGACTGAATGAATGAATGAATGATAAAGTAGATAGATGCATGATGGAGAAATTGATGGGTGTGTGGATAAGGTAGATTGTGAGCTTTTTTAGAATGTAGCATGAACGAGAGTCACAAGGAGTGTTGGAACAAGGTAGGAGAGTTTGATTGAGCCTGGAACACAGATAGATAGATGCCTTGTCTTCAGCCAACCATTTGTGTAGCTTTAGTGAAGTCACTTCACTTTACCGAGACTCAGTTTCTTTATCTGATGACAGGGGGTAACCTCTCTTCCTACTCCCAGAGTAGTATTTGTGGAGATAAGAAGAAGAAAGGGAATAGCAAGGGCTATCAAAAACTAAAGGTTCTTTAAATATCAATGTGTTATACTCTGTCCACCCTGAGCACAATAAGGTTGTTCTTCAAAATAAAATTTTATGTAACAATTTTCAGTTTAGCCTAGATTTTGATGAGTTTGGAAATTCTGATCAGTGGCCGATCTAAGAGAAAAGAATGTAGAATATTTCTATGTTACAATGTGATAATAGGCAAAAACACATCCTAGATATCTATTAAGTTGGCACATTAGCACTGACCATCTTTTCAGAGATGAATGGTTATTGCCAAGTGATAATATCAAATTTATTCACTGTTTCAGCAAACAATCTGCCTGGTAATAAGTCTCTTCCCTTTTGATGTGGATTCACTTACTTTACATATAATAATTCACAATGAGAAATCTTTCGTTTACAAAAGCAGAATTGAAAGCTAGGTGCCAAATGTCATCATTGTTATTAAATATGTGAGGAAGTTCTTGCAAATGTAATAAAGAAAATTAAAATGCTGAAGGACAGAATTACTTCAATTTCAAGCTAATAATACAATTGTGATTCTCTAAGAAACCTCAAGTAACTCTAGCAAAAACTGCTAGCATTAATAGGTTTTTAATGGTGATGGAAAATAAAATAAATATGCACAAAATTCTTCATTGTACTAGTAATAACCAGATAGAAATTTTATAAAAATCTCATTTTAAGTACCTGTAAAAATTATTTTTAAAAGAAACTAGGAAAAAAAGGTTTAACAACAATGATCCAAAAACCATGTAAAGAAAATTGTAATATTTTATTGAGTACAGAAAACAAGTCCTGAACAAGAGGAGAATCATACCAACTTCCTAAATGAGAAGACAAACTTAAGAATGTACCTAAGTTTGATGTACCTTAATGTACCTTAATGCTCCCAAAATTAAAACAGTTGATCTTCATTATTTGCAGATTCAATATCTACAAATTTGCCTATTTGCAAAAAGTTATTTGTAACTCCTAAATCAATGCTAGTGGTCCTTTTGCAGTATTTGCAGACATGAGCAAAGCGGCAAAAAATTCGAGAGACCTGGTACACATGTGCCCAGCACTGTCGAACTGAACAGTGCTGCAAGTTGTCTGCTCTGTTATCTCAGCTCTACTGTAAACAAGTGTCCTTCTCACAGTCTATTTTGTGCTGCGTTTTCTGCATTTTTGTGATTCTTGCTGGTGATTGGCCCACAAATGTGGTGCTGGATTGCTGTCTAGTGTTCCTAAGCACAGGGCTATGATGTGCCTTAATGAGGACACATGCGTAAGTTTCATTCAGCCATGACTTACAGTGTTGTTGACCATGAGTTCAATATTAATGAATCAATAATATATATTAAATAAGATGTCTTTAAACAGAAACACACATAAAACAAGGTTATGCATTGATTGGTTGGCAAAAGTGTTGTGACCAGAGGCTTGCAGGAACCTAACCTCGTGTTTCCCCTAGGAGCAAAGGTTCCTTGTTCTATAATTCAGTGTTCAGGGTGACTTTACAGAGCATAACTGCTGTGAATGATGAGAATTGACTGTATTTAAATTAAATGCACTTCCAGATAGAATAACAAGGTTTTTTTTAAATAGGATAAAATAAGTTCGAAGCTATGTTAGAAGAATAATTATATAAGAATAGTAAAAGTATAATATTGAAGAATATTGAGAAGTGATGCCCTTCAACAAATATTAGGACTTACTATAGAACCATTTTATGACCAAATAATATAGTATAAAAAAGGAATAAACATGTAGATATGAGGATAAAAAAATAAAATTTAATAATTGATCCAAGCATATGTGGGAACCTAATATGTGATAAAGATAGTATTTTAATTCAGTGGGAAAAGAATGCATAATTGGCTATTGATCTGAAAGAAAACAAAACTGGCCCTTATTTTGCCCCATATACTGGCATAATTTCCAAATTGAGTAATATTTAAATGTAAAAACTTAAAATAAACATTAGGAAAACTGTGGTTGGAGGAAACCTCTCTAAGACAGAAAAACAAAAAATCATGAAGGGATAGATAGACAGATATAATATATGTGCCAGCATACAAAGTTGAACATTTTGCTATGGTAAATGATATAATAAACAAAATCAAAAATAAGCTCTAGACTTAGAAAAATATTTTCAGTAATAAGGCAAACTACACTATCAAAGGGTCTCTAAAAGTTAATAAGAAAAACTGAAGAAGAAAAAGAAAATGGGTAAGAAGAAGAAGATAAGGGTGAAGAGGAAAATACACAAAATATAGAAATAGGCACTCCCAGAGGAGGAATCCCAAATGGTCTTAGACACACAAAAAGATGCTCAACCTCACTAGTGGTTAGAAAAATGCAAATTAAAGGAACAATGACACATACCATCACTTTACTTATGGGAAAGGCAAAGATTGAAACGAATGACAACATCTATTGCCAGTGACGATGGAAGAACGTAGCTACTCGTGAAATTTGGTAGAAGTACAAATGGCTATAGACTTTTCAGAAAATGAACTGAAAAATATTCATTCACTTATTCATTCAATAAATATTTATTGAACATTGTTCTAGGCACAAAGGATCTATCAGTGAACAAAAAGGGACAAAGATCTCTGCTCTCATGGAGCTTTTGTCCTAGAGGGGAAACAAGACAAAGACAAATGGTATAAATGTGAGTTATATAGCACATTAGAAGTTCTAAGCACTCAAGTGAAAAGGAGATCCACACCACTGCAAGGAGGAGGCTGGTGTGGCTGAGTGGGATGAGGGAGGAGAGGAATAAGAGAAGAGGTGAGGAAGGTGGGGCAGATCTTAAAGGGCCTGACAGACCAACGTTAGGACTTTGGAAAAACTTTGGAGGATTGTGAGTAGAGGATCTAACTTAGGTTTTTAAAGCTGTCAGCCTGGTTGCTATGTTGAGAATAGGCTAAAGGAGTTCAAGAATTAGAAGAAAGGTTATATAAACATTTTTGTAAATTTTATTCTAAAGTTTCTATTCAAAATTTTTAATTCAAAATTTCAATCCATTTGGAATTTATTTTATCAATGGTCTGGCTTTGCTTTCTTTCAAATGGATAGTCAGTTATGTGATCTTTTTCCCACTTAATTAAAATATCACATTTGTTCCGTATTATGTTTCCTTATATACTTGGATTAATTTTATTAGAATTTATGTTCTCATCCTCAGATCTATGTGTCCATTCTTGTATTGCTACTAAACAATATGGTCATGGTGGTTCTACCATAAGTAGAAGGATGCAGTTATCCCCAACTGAGTTGGAGGAGGACATAGGTGGAACAGTCTTGTGGGGGAAGATCAGGAATTCAGTTCAGGACACATTAAGATTGACTTGTCTCTGAGACACCCACATGGAGATGTTGAGTAGGAAGTTGACTGTTCATATCTGGAATGTGGAACAAAGATCTGTACTAGAGATATAAATTTGGGTATTGTTGGCATGGTTTTTAAAGCAATGAGATTATTGTATGAGATCACCAAAGAGCTTTCACAGATAGAGAAAAGGATCAAGGACTGAGCCTGTGACGCTCCGTATTGCAAAGCTGGGAAGAAGAAGAAAACCCAGCAAGGGAGATGGAGAAAGAGCAATGAATGAGATAGGAAGAAAACAAAGAAAGTGAGGAATCCTAGAAGACAGGTGAAGAAAGTGTTCAAGGAAGAGGGCAGAGGGGTCTACTGTGTCAAATGCTACTGCTAGATCAGATAACAATTGACCTTTGGATTCAGCAGTCAGAATGAGAAGATCGTTGATGGCCTCAAAAAGAGCATCATAGGACAGCAGTAGTAGAAAAAGGCAGACTAGTGGCAGTTTAAGAAAGAGTGGGAGCTGAGGAACTGAAGATACCAAGTAAGAAAGTTCCAGGTTTTTTTGTTTTCTGAAGTGAGAGCAAAGAGATAGTATAGGTAGTAGGGTGACTGAGGTTAAGAGAGTGCTTTGGAATTTTTTTGGTTTGGGGTTTTTTGTTTGTTTGTTTGTTTTTTTATTTATTTTTATGTATTTACTTATTTTAAGACAGGGTCTCACTTTGTTGCCCAGGCTAGAGTGAGTACCGTGGCGTCAGCCTACCTCACAGCAACCTCAAACTCCTGGGCTCAAACAATTCTACTGCTTCAGCTTCCCGAGTAGCTGGGACTACAGGCATGCGCCACCATGCCCGGCTAATTTTTTCTATATATATTAGTTGGCCAGTTAATTTCTTTGTATTTATAGTAGAGACAGGGTCTCACTCTTGCTCAGGCTGGTTTTGAACTCCTGACCTTGAGCAATCCTCCCACCTCGGCCTCTCAGAGTGCTAGGATTACAGGCATGAGCCACCACGCCCAGCCAGAGAATGCTTTGTTTTGATAGGGAAAGTCCCAGCATGTTTGTATGTTAAAGGAAATGAGTTAGAGAGAAAAACTGATGATTTGGTGCAAGAAGAGAGAATTGTTGGAGCAATATCATTCAGCAAAGAGGGTGTGGGACATGCACGTAGACAGATTGGCTTTAGAAGAGTAGTATGTACTAAACATTAAAATGTACATAAGTGCTGGCCACTGATCCATTTTTAGAACTCTATCCTATTGGAAGGAAATACCACTACCTAGTAAATAAGGTTTTTTAGCATGGGAGGGCAGGGCAATAAACCAGAAACAACCTAAGTATCCCCAGCTAGAAAAACAGTGGAATACATACCATATAAACATAGAATAGAACATAATGAATCCCCTTAAAAGAAAAAGTTTTAGTTACTATACTAGAGGGTATTCACCATCATATATCAGAGAAAAAAGCAAGTAGCAGAATAATGTACGTAGAATGATTTCATTTTTGTTTCAAAAATCAATTCAATATGTATTTTGATTCTTGTAAATGTGTGAGTACAGAAAATGGTTCATATATCATAATGCTGACACACTGATCTCAGACTTCGAGCCTCTAGTACTATGAGAAAATAAATGTCACACAGTCTATGGTATTTTGTAATAGCAACTTGAGAAGACTAAGACAGAGTGAAACAACCCCAAGATATCTCAGAGGGGTAGGAATAGAGTGTGTCACTCAGATGATGTGTTACAAAGTAGTTATAAGTTACCCTGTTTTTCTTCCCAAAATGCCCACCTTTAATGACATAATTAAGTGTACCACAGAATGATTGTTTCTTTCCCTATGCTCTCAGTGCCTCCTGTAGAAATGATCATATTATGACAAAAATGATTATATATTTGTCTGTTCATTAGATGTGAAGTCCCTGTGTGAATGCTCTGTGAGCAGGGAGTTCTCTGCTTTTTTGCTGTTGCTGTTTTATAACTAGAGATGGTAAAATGCTTTAAAAATAGTTTTTAAGAAACTAAGTGGAATTGTATAAAATGGAATAAGCCTGACCTTAAACTAGTCGTGTCTATTCCATGTTCGTTCAGATTTGACATGACAAACACACCTGCACTTAGAACCCCTAATCTCTGACCTGGACAAGATGACCTGAGAGATTTTCTGCCGTCATCCCTGAATTTCTTTCCATTCTCACATCTAGATTGTCAAGGAGGAGAAAATAGAATCTTCATTCCTATTGTTGGTTAACTGTCAACTAAATTGCCTGGAAAAGAACACAGAGAAAAAAGTTGGGCTGGTTTATTACTATTCTGGGGTATTGACTTCACGTCTGATTTAACCTTTTTAAAAAGGTTTTAAAACTGTCCTCAATGTCATACCTGAAAAATTAATAATTGCTACCACTTCTTATAAAATTCTGTAACAGGCTCTCCTTGCAGTACAAGAGTTCTAAAATACCAACAGATGTAAGGCCAACTGGACCAGTGGCCTACAAACCCACACCCATTCCTCAAAGAATTTCTCAGGCTCAACAAACTGACAGCAGCCTGCATCATCAGGTGAGTCCAAAAGGGAAAGGAATTGCTGCTAATGCACAAGTAACCTGGACCATTTTGTAGTTAGGTTCAGTGAACATCCCCTAGTTTGGGGAATCTTTTCAAGATGTTAATATGACCAAAGAAAAATCTGGGAACATATTTTTTAAAATAACTTTTTATCTCCAGTCAAAAGTGCTATATATTTATTATAGAAAATTTGGAAAAGTCAGAAAAGAACAAAGAAAAAAAATTAAAATCGCAAACAATTCATTTTATGCCCACTGCTAATGTTTTGGTGTATTTCTTCCCTGTAAACTTTTTAAAATTAGTTTAAATCATACTGTAAATTTTATTAATTATATAGTTCTCTATCAATGTAAGTTATATTGTGAGCATTTTCTATTGCCCTTACAATTCTTCAAAAACATCTTAATGGTTATATAATTTTTATTTAAATAGACATAAAATTATTTCTTTAACCCATCCTATGATGTTGAATATTTAGATGCTTTCGAATTGCTATAATTTAAAAATGTACTGCTAAGATTCTTATACATTATTTTTTTATAAATAGTTCCCTAATAATTTCCTTAGAATACATTTCTAAAGTGGAATCACTAGAATGAAAAGCAGGAACATTTTTAAGACTCTTCATGCTTATTGCAAAACTGTCTTTTAGAAAATAATACCAAATTATATTCCCACTGCATGTAAGCACCTTTCTACTTGATCCTTGCTAATATTGACTATTATCATGTTTTGTTAATTTTATTAGCAGAATACATTTCATTTGCCTTAATTTGTATTTCTCTGATTCAAAATGAAATGGAAGTTTCCATCACATAGTTCAGAAGGTATTTTTCCTTCTGTTGGTGCCCTCTGCCCATTTTTACTGATGCATCAATGAGATTTACCAATGTATTTGAAGTTTTTGTATTTAACTTCAAATTTTGTATTTGAAGTTTTGTATTTCCCTTTGACTATGGGAAACATTTCTTTCTAGTTATTTCCTTTTAATCTTATAATATGACTTGCTATGTAAACATTTTGTATTCTTATGAAAACATTAACAATCTTTTCCTTTGTAATTTTTTACATAGTTTCATGCTCAGAAAAATTTCCCTTTTAAGAAATCAAAAGACTCTTTAGCTTTGTTTTATTTTGACATTATTTGATTATCTCAACATTTAACTTTTAAAAATCTATCTGGTTTCTATTTTGATGCAGGATGAGAGGTAAAGATAATCCCCCATTTCTGCTTTTTATTTAAATAAATCTTTTCCTTTTTAATTTCTGTGTAATGATTCCTTTACTATATACTAAAAATTTGACCACCTGAATGTGATGTACTGCTATCTATTCAGCTTTTCGTTTTATTTTTACATAAAACAATATTATTTGAATTATTTTAGCTTTATGATACTCATAGAGCAAGTTTTCCCTTTTTATTTTATCTTCTTAACCACTTTATTGAGGTATAATTGACATGTAAAAAGCTATATATATTTAACATATACAATGTTATACATTTATCCTGCATAACTGAAACTTCATACCCTTCGATCATCACCTCCCCATTTCATCACTTTTTATCTTTATTTTTTAAATATTACCTATTATAAAATAATTGTTCTTCTAAAAGAATTTTGAAATTATCTATAAAGTGCCAAAAATCAATCCTGACAGTATTTTGGTTAGCTTTGCATTAAACCTGTACGGTGATGTGGAATCATCCATTGTCTTTGTGATATTGTAACAGAGATAAAGGTCTGAAAAAGGACAATGAAATGTATTACAAGTTTTCCCTTTAAAACTCCCCACCCTTTTTGGGAATTAAAATCTACATTTCTTCCCAAGGTCAGTAATCAAAGAGGCTGAAAAATGTTCTTCACTGCTTGTTTTCAAGTATCTTAAACCACAGGAGATGGCTCAACAGAATTGTTGGGACAAGGGTCACAAGATCATAGTCACCAGAGATAAGATCTACCAAAACCACCAATTTAGTTAAACAACAATAGCCTGATGCCACAATATGTGGACATGTGACACTAATCACATAGACCCAAGCCCAACTGCCAAAAAAACCCTTTTAAAAAGCCCTATTTTCTTGTTTAAAGGTAGGATGATGGTCTTTTGATATGCTAGTTTGCCATCCTCTTCATTTGCTGGCAAATTAATGAACTTCTCTTTCCTTTTCCTCCAACCATTTGTCCTCATTCTTCGTTCTCACTGATTTGGCCACAGGGACAAGTATGGAACTTGCAGTAACAATATTTAGGTCTCTCTATCCTTTTCACGTCTTTTCTTTCTCTCAGCAAAAGGTCACAGGTACCTTATGTCCTATCATTCTACTTGTTTCTCATTGAGGGTACACTAGGCAGTTTATGTTTGTTGTTGCTATTGTGAGTAGAGACTTTTCCCATTGTATCTTTTTTTTTAATTATCAGTGATGATATATTGGAAATCTATGGATTTTCAAATAGTTGTATTGCAAAGAGATACCTTTCTGAACTCTTTTAGTAATTTCAAATTTTGGTTTAGTTTGAATATTTTGCTTCTAGGTAGATAGTATCTATTAAACCCAAAGCTCAAGAACCTTGTACATGTACACAGAAAGGCATATACTGCTTTGTTCACTGCAGCATTTGTTTTTAATTTTGAAAAATTGGAAAGATCCTAATACTCTTGCATTGAGAATGACTCACTAAATAAACCATGGTAGCTATTCTAAGGATATACAATGGTAGGCCCGTATGTGCTGACCTGAAATGCTTCTCAATTGCAGAAAAATATGAACTGTATAATAATATTGATGTAAGAAACACTTTAAAGGTTTGTTTCATGTTGGTACTATTAAGATCCCAGATTCAAAGACTATGCTACACACGTGGGAGCTGCTTGAGTATCTGAAGGAAGAAGCAGATAGGCACAGGTCACTCTGAGGGGCTGCAAAGGGACACTCCAACCAGAGAATGTGACTTGAAGTCTATATGTAGCTCAGTTTCTTCTTCCTGCCCTTCCCTCTTCCTCTTTCAGGCCATGCCTATGGAATAACGTTCCTAAGGTGGCCAGCCCTCTTCAGGTCATTTGCAGGGAGGCGAGAAGGCTGCGGAGTTTAGCCACAGCTGCTTTATATATGGAGCGTAATGAAATCCAATCTCCCATCCAGACGTGTGGGAGCCAAGGGCTGGAACATGGTGCTCCAGGACACTGGGCCACGCTGGGTCAGGTCAGAACTTGCCCTCGAGTTGCAGCTGAGGGAGCAGAGTGTGATTCGAGAGACAAAGTTTGGTGGGGATAGCCTAAATGAGAGCCAACTCAACCGTTATTAATTCAAAAGACTTGGTGAACTCAAAGAGAAATGATGACTCTTAAGTACATACCCAGGCGGGCAGCAATGGAAAGACAAGAGAGTTAAACCATAGAAGAAGGTAGGAGGCAGAAGTGAGAGACTTCATAAGCTGAGGGAGAGAAAGTGTCCCAACTGCTTTTTGTGTATGTCTTTGGGGAAGGAGATGTTCAGGGCAGCAACCTAGCCTGGGCAAGAGACTGTTGTCACTTATTTTTAAAACCTAAATCTCTTTTGTATGTTTTAACTTCTTTTATGCAAATTAGAGCATGTAACTGTACTTTGATGCACACCGGCACCGTTGTGCATGGCGTAAACCCAAACAGCATCCTCTTTTTGAAATAGACTGCATTTCTTTGAAAAGCATCATTATTGTTGTCTTATAGTGGCTTTTTAGGAATATGGGTTAAATTCTAACCAAAAACTTATTTTCTGTATTTCTTGCTTCTCTAGACCGTAGTCAGCATTAGGAATGAACTCTGGAGGATTCGGGAATCCGTTGCTGCTCTCCACAGGGAGAGAAGGTAGGAGCCACGTGTGTGGGCACAGACACTGACCGCAGCAACGAGTCCGGAGCATCATCTCCTTTGCTCTGACAGAAAACTTTTCTACAAAGATTTCACCATACTCTTTTTTCTAATTTGGGAGACAATTTAAGCAGAGAAATCCTATGATTCCAATAGGAAGGTAAAAAGGGGGCGTTGACTCTATTTGAGTAATTCAGCATAACAAAAATCACTTGGCTGATTATATTAAGTTTTGACTTTTCATCGCCTTGTTGTATTCCCTGGAAGTTGGTCAAGCACTTTTAGTGAAGTACTGATTCTTGTGTGTGCATGTCTCGTGTGTATGTGTGTGTGTGTTTTAGCTACTTCTAAAGAAATCAACACACTTTCTCCAATGGCATCTAACTTTCTACCAGGTTTATTAGGCTGATTGGAAACTGCCTACCATCTTCTTCTTGTGTTTTAAGGAACTAATAATTCCTCAGCTCCTGTCTCCTGCTGTCATTCCTTTAAAAGGCAGAATTCCGGGCTCCTCAATAAGACATGTCCCCTGAGGGAAGACCTTTGTTTTCAGGCTCCATGCTCGGTATCCAGGAGATGCCCAATACACTAGTGACTCCGTGTAAATACACACAAGGAGGTTTGCCTCATAATCTAAATGGATGAAAGATAGGGAACAGTTTTTAAATTTCGTGGTAACTCATGAAAAGGAGTGAACAAACACTGTTAAAGTATCAAAGTAAGGTAAATGTTAAAAGTAATTTTAATCTTTTTTCATGGAATCAGGAAAAGAAATTAGAAACAGCATCAAAGAAAGTAGGATAGCAATAAAAAGACAATTTTTGAAACTTAAAACCTGGAAACAAAAAAGGAATTTTGAAGTTTAGTTCTTTAAAACTAAATTCTCAAAATAATTATTTAAAGCTAATTATTTTAAACTAAATTATTCTCTTTTCTATGGTCCATATTTACTACATATACCATTGATATCCTGGGAAAGTATTTATCACCACAGAGTATACCAAAGTGTGAGGCTGCTTGTTAAATGGAATAAAACACGAAGGCTCCATCTTTGTTCCTGTGTGCACCATCATTTTTATCAATGATTTGGATAGAAGTGTAGGAGTCATGATTCTCGAAAGTGTGTTTGACATGATAACAAAAGGTCCAGGTATTGACAATCTTGACTCACTAAGATTTAATAGGGCTGTAACAAGGGTGCAATTTAAAAAGACCAAATTTTAAGGGATTAAAGAAAAGTGCTACAATTGTAGGCCCAGGTTCACAACAAGTAGTGTGAAAAAGCCCTGAGATATATATGATAGTTAACTGTAACTTCAGTAACATACAACATCATGTCACTGATTATTTAAAAACACTGTTTCGCTATATTAGCAGAAAGAGTAATTATTAGTTACGTATTTGTCACTCTACACGGTGCTAGGTACCGATCAAGGAAAGTAGTATTTCACTGCTCTGTGCATGATTATCTTGCCCAGGGAATATTTGTGTTTCATTTGAAGGCCTATTGGGAGGTGCAAACTGCTTAGCTCCAGAAAGCAGAAATACATAGAAAGATACAATAGTTTAGAAAGGCAGCTATCAGGCCATTTGAGAGGAATTCTTTCTCAGATAACCTGAACTATTTGTTAATAGTGGCTATTTGCCTGAAAAGTACTGGGCTCCCAGTTGCTGAAAATATGGTACCAGGTGAATCACGTTTACCAGAAACACTTCATAAGAATTTCTTTAAAAAAAAAAAAAAGAAGAAGAAGAAGAGTAAGAAAAGAACCAGATTTCTGATAGGGCTCTGCCTACTTTTACCTGGACTGTGAAAGGATATACGTGTCGTCCAGTGTTCAAGCATGGTGGATGGACCAGAGAGGAGGAAGTGAATACATACAGGTGGAGGGCAACATGGCGCAGCGGGGGGTACTGACACCATTGTGGTCATACCACACACAGCATTTTGGGTACAGAGAACACTGTCTCTAGAAGACTTCTGGGAATGTTTCTTTGTTGTTGGCTATATAGAAAACCCCTGGGCTGACTTCTTTCTGAAAAGCCCATCATAAAGATGTACTTGAAACTCCAATTATGATCAAGGATTTTAGAGTCAGGCACCGACCTCTTCAGCTGAGTGTGACTGTCTAGAAGTTTGAGGGCTCTTTCAGAGACGCCCCGTTTGGATGGGAGCCCAGACAAAATTCCAAGACCTCGCCCAGCTCTATGGCGATTAGGAATTCCAAAGGTTCTAACATTGAGAAACATTGCATTTCACATGGGAGAGCCAATTTCCACAGATTCCACGAATATGCCAACAGCAGTGAGCAAATAAGACTAATTTACTCAGCTAGTTTTAATTGTGTACTTGCTATATGAAGGGAATTATTTTAAGCCTGGGCTTGGGGACATGGCAATTAACAAAATGGGAGGGGGGAGTTGCCAGAATAAAAGGGCAATAAGCAATTAAGTAATAGAGTAAGTAATAGATAAGTAAAATAATAAGTGAAGCATGTAGTAGTATGTATGTCATAGAGTATGTCCAGAAGTTTGAAGGTTAGACTCTTCACGCTCTGTAGTAACTACAGGGTGGTGAAAAGCCACAGAGACAGAAAAAGAAAGGAAGAGGATGTCTACGCTGGAGGCGGGGCGAGGTTGTGGTTTGTGGTTCCAAGCAGGGCAGTTAGGGAAGGTCTCACTGAAAGGGTGACCTGGAGCAAAGACTTGCAGGGGCTGAGGAAGGGAACTCAGCAGTGACTGGGGGAGGACGGAGGGCTCCAGCAGAGGGAGCCAAAGAGCAAAGACTCGGAGGGGAAAGCAAGCCTGCGGTGTCCAGAGAGGAGCCAGGAGCTCCGAGTGGCTGGGAGGCCCTGTGTGAGTTGGGAAGAGTGGGAGATGGGGTTCAAGAGGAAATGGGGGTCTGGGACATCTTTGCCAGACTTGTCCACCTCCGGAAGGCCTTCAGTGTATTCTAAAATGAGGATGGGAGCCCCTGGAGAGTTCTGAGCAGCCCTGTGACATGACCTGCCTTATGTTTGAAAAGAACAAACAGAATAAAACAGTGTTGATCAACGTTAGATAACAGTCGAGGCACAGGCTTCTCCAGTGTCTCCTCCCACAGGGAGGACTGCAGTCCACCTTGCCCGGGCTCTAGTTAGTATACCGGCCTCTTGCCCTTCCAAACCACTCTAATCTCTTCTCTTTTCAGGCTCCTTAAAAAACAGTTAAACCAATGCAAAGACAAGTTGCAAGTGATGCACACCTCCCAGGAAGAAAGAAGCTGCCGGTTTGAAACGAAGATTGACGAACTCACAACCAACCACAATAGTCTATGGACCCAGCTACAACAAATGGGACAGGATTTCCAGGTATAAAATGCTGGAGACAGTGGCCATGTGGACCACCTGCAAGTCTAACCTCGAGTCCTCCAGCCAAGGGAGAGCCGTAGCCTGAAGCCCCACACCTCACTTTGACCAGCTTCTTCACTTGCCCTCTTCTTCCCATACCCTGACCTCTTCCCACTTCCATCCTCCAGGATATATATACTCCCCTTGAGGAAGCTAGTGTCGTTGACAGACAATAGGATCTGTACCATTTAGAAACCAGAGACCTGGAGCAAAGTGATTCTTTGCAGCATTGGTTCTTAAACCTTTTGGTCTCAGGAGCCCTTGTACATTCTTAGAAATTTTTGAGGACCCCAAGGAACTTTTGTTTCTGTGAGTTATGTCTATTGCTACTTACCATATGAAAATTAAAACTGAAAGGTTGTTTAAAATGTATTTTTAACTAAAACATAAAAACAATAAATCCATTATGTATGTAACACTTTTCAACAATAACTATATGTTTTTTAAAACACAAGTAGAAGAGTGGCGTTGTTTCACATTTTTTACAAATCTCTTTAATGTCTGGCATAATAAAAGATAGCTGAATTTTCATAACTGCTTCAGCAATCAACCTGCTGCAAGATGTTTTGATTGAAGCATATAAAGATATCAGGCCTCACACAGATTTGCAGTTGAGAAAGAGAGGAGTGTTTTAGTAGCTTTTCAGATAACTGGGGATACTTTTCTTTGAGGCTGTTTGTTCTTTTAAAACATGATATATGATTGTGCAATGTGGAGCCTGAAACCATATCTATTTCACACTGTCTCAGTAAAATCCAGTGTTTCAAGTATGTTCTCTGAATGGATCTTCTACCCATGCATGATTTTGTAACATCTTCCATTGATCACATGGAAAAAAATGGTGGCTCACTGAGCTATGCTGAATGTCCTAATTTCTACCCATTTCATTATACAAAACTGAAAAAAATTCATACTCATTGATGTCACCACTAATCTCATCAGAAAGTTGTTTAAAAATTGGAAAGCTATCAAGCTCATGGTGGTAGATGCAAGTTTTCCAAAATTCTAATTTTTCCTAGAAAACTTAACTGTTATAATTGACAACAGATACTATTCATTGCTTTCCTTGCAGTGACATTCTGACTTAGATCATTTTTGAGAAACTGTTTGCCACATACCCACATCTGAATAACCATAGTATGTCAGTCAGTGTTTCTTTCTCACAAGAACCAACTTTTGTATTTCAGTATGCATCAGAAGTACTTTCTGCACACTTCGCATTTCATCATACACAATATTAAAATGACATGTGTCATTATTTTTTAAATGAAGAACTAGTGCTACTCCATCAAAGATATGCTTCAGTATCACTGGCATTTTTGTTTTAATTGCTGGCATATGGTGGTGAAGAACATCCTGATTATTAGCACTGTTTGGCGACACTGCCTCGATTTGTGCTAAAGCACCAACAGCTTTACTTATTGATTTTGCACCACCAGTGCACATGTCAACACAATGAACAGTCAAATAACATCTGAGTATCATTATGAAAATAATTTTGACTTCACACCAGACCCATGAAAGGGTCTCAGGCATCTCCCAGGGTCTTTGGGCCACCCTTTGAGAACTATGCTTTATGTAGAGCACATCCCCAGATTTCATACCCATGCCTTATTGTGAAGCCCCTCATAGAGCACTTGCTAGACATATATCATTATGAACATGTTTTGTTGTAATAATTTTATCTAGCAATTCAACATATGATTATATTTTCAGAAATGCCTTATGATATTTTTAGAACCTGGGCTTTTGAGAACCTAGAATTTTCCCAAATTTCTTGTGATTATTCTCTGTGATATTTTAGAACCTGAGCTTTTCCGCCTCTTGTAGAGAGTTTTGACGTGGAATTAGCAGCATAAAATAAAATTAATTATAATGATATATTTAGAGAGGAAAAAAAAGTCTTGCTTTAGAATGTTCTATTGGAATAATGAAATTGAATGCATTTAGGAAAAAAGTAAGATACATGTTCATTTCTTCATAAAGTTTTCTTTATCTAGGCAGTGTTGCAGCCACTCCATCCTTCATCTTCTACCTGTCAAAATATGGTATCCAGGGTTGACCATTCTTCAGCTGAAAGGTTTTGGAAAGGAGGAAATTCTTTCCAGATCAAGAACTCCACTGGGGACGGTTCAGAATGGGAACCTCTTCCTAAGCCAGCCAAGGTTGACAGAAGCCACAGAAGTCAAGCAAATGCAGAGCATGCTCTACCAAATTCAGAATCACCAGAGACCAATTTGCAAAGCACCAGGGCCAAAGCAAAAAGCCAAGCACAAAAGATGCCTGAGGAAATCCTTAGCTCCCTATCCACTTATCAAGAGGGACCACTGCAGGACAGCCCCCAAATGGCTCCTGCTGAAATGAGCAGTGATGCTCTGGCACCTGCAGAAAGGAAAGACTCAGGTAACATCAAAAAGAGAAAGGATGAGCTGGAAGAAGAGGAACTGCAAGAAATATTGTCAAAACTTATGGATGCCTTCAATCCAGAAATACCATCAGGTAAGGATTTTACAATCAATAGACATAGTGATGGCCATGGATTCAGGATGCCTTTTTAGAAACTTGATGTTATAACATTTGCCCAACAGCTACAATTCATCTAGATGATAATTCATCATCATCTTCTGCATACGCTATGACTCATTGCTAAATTCTGAGGGCTTCTTAAAAATTATCCTTCTTTATTATAGTTGTTTCTTGTGTTTTGGACTGACGTCTTATTTCTTATTTAGAGTATTTTGCTATCTTTCTTATTTCGAGTATTTTATTATCTTTACATATATATACTCCTCAACTTACAATAAGGTTATGTCCTGATAAACCCATAGTAAATTGAAAATACCATTAAGTCAAAAATGCATTTAACACACATAACCTACCTAACATCATAGCTTAGCCTAGTCTACCTTAAATGTGCTCAGAAGACTCCTATTAGCCTACAGTTAGTTGGACAAAATCATCACCTATTTTATAAGAAAGCATTGAGTATGTCATGTGATTTACTGAATGCAGCACACTGTAGAATACAGCATCATTGTTTACCCTCATGACCATGTGGCTGACTGGGAGCTGGGGCTCACTGCCACCACCCAGCATCACAAAAGACTATTGTATCTCATATCACTAGCCCGGTAAAAGATCAAAATTCAAAATTTGACGCAAGGTTTTGACTGAATTCATATCACTTTTGTGCCATTGTAAAATTAAAAAATTGTAAGTTGAACCATCATAATTTTGCAACTGCATAATTGACCCTTAAACAACACAGGTTTAGGGGCAGTGATCTCCTTCACAGCTGAAAATTTGTGTATAACCTTTACTCCCCAAAACCTTAACTATTAATAGCCTACTGTTGACCAGAAGTCTTTCTGGTAACAGTCGACTGACACATATTTTGTATGTCATATACATTATGTACTGGATTCTTACAATAAAGTAAGCCAGAGAAAAGAAACTGTTATTAAGAAAATCATAAGGAAGAGAAAATATATTTACTATCCATTAAGTGGAAGTGGATCATCATAAAGGTCTTCATCCTTGTTGTCCTCACGCTGAGTAGGCTGAGGAAAGAAGGAGGAGAGGTGGGTCTTGCTGTCACAGGAGTGGCAGAGGTGGAAGAAAATCCATGTATAAGTGGACCCGCACAGTTCAAACCAGTGTTGTTCAAGGGTCACTGTATGTGCAAATTTCTTTTTAAGAAAATCCAAGATTTTTTTATGTTGGAGTGATCTTCTAGAGACCTGTGATAAAATGAAGGATAGCACTCTTACGTGTTTCTGTATCAGAGGAGGCCTTCTCAAAATATTTCTGAATTGGTGTATTAGTTTGCTGGGGTTGCTATAAAAAAGTACCACAGACTGAGTGGCTTAAACAAACAAACAAAAAATTATTTTCTCACAAATTTGGAGGCCAAAAGTCCAAGATCAAGGTGTCTGCAGCACTGGCTTCTTCTGAATTCTCTCTCCTGGGGCTTATTAAAGGTCCAAATTTTCTCTTCCTGTAAGGATACCAGTCATATGGATTAGGGTCCACCCTAATGACTTCATTTTAATTAATCTCTTTAAAGCCTCTACCTCCAAACATAGTCACATTCTAAGGTACTTGGAGTTAGGACTTCAAAGTATGAATTTGCAGAAGGGTAAGCACAATTTGGCGCATGACCATTGGAGAGCTATAAACTGAACAAATAATAATGTCAGTTTCATACAGAACTTCATAGAGCCAAGTCAATGAACTAATTATTTGGTGACTCTGAGAAGCTCTACGGTAAATGGAGTTGGAGTTACAATTTTTGCATTGGAGAAAACAAATTCAGAAAGATGCCAAAAGTATGCTCAGATTGCCTGAGACAAAGACAGAATGGGAACTCCTTGTGCCTGATTCTTAAGCTGACATAAAATTCCACCCACTGTATTCCTGTCTAAATATCCTTGGGGTCATCATGAGTATTCAAAGCAAAGTCAATATCTACTTGACCTTTTTAGCAAAATTTCACATAAAAATTGGGCTTTATAGAAAGTTTTTTAGTCTTTGACATCTTAGTATTTTGTTTGTTTGTTTGTTTGTTTGTTTTTGTTTCTCCAAATGAGCTGACAAAAGTTGCTGATTTCTAAAATGTTGTGTTGGGTCGGTCCTCACAAACGTACCCACTATGTTGAGTATTTTGGTGGTTTCCATAGTATAGTGGTTATCATGTTTGCCTCACACTATGTTGCATATTTTAGATTCCTAATAGAAGGTCTACTACACATAGTTGGAAGACAATGTCCCAACATTTGTGCAGTTTAATTCCTAAAGCTAAAAGATTCATGCATATTTTATGTGACTTTTCAAGGTCTGCATATATATGTATAAGTATGCATATGCATCATTATATCATTAAGAGGGAAATCATAAAAGGGTAAAATGTGCTTCTAAATTAAGATGATGCAATAATGTATAAATATTAGCATTATCAAATCTTTTCAAAAATATAAAAAATATATGTCACAAAAAATGTACTTCTGTTTTCACTTACAGTCTCAATAGAACCATGAGGTGCTTCTGTAGGTAGTATGCACTATTATACAAACATGCTTATTGTATTAGCAGGAAGGTACGAGTTTTTTCTTGTTATTATAGTATTTTATACTTTGTCATGATTCAACAAATACTAATTGTTGAGATTTAAATTTACAAGCTTATTTCTTTTGTATTAGTCTTATTTCTTTGAGGCTTTTAAACATAAGGATCTATGCTAATCTTCATAACTACTGTTTTGCATTACATATCACTCCTCACTCAAATATTTCTAATGAAGTTTGTGTCCTTATTAAGTCTGGTATTTAATAGGACCCTATTTTCAAACTCCACTTAGCCATTGGCAATATGGATTATAAAAATACACTCCATAATTTATACATAATCTATGCATGCTTACCAAAATTATACCAAACTTAATCAGAGCCAAAAGTGTAATAACTACATGGATGAAGTGAAACAGGCTAAATTAAGTATTGGTTACCTTTGTTAACCTCTATCTCTATTATGGATGCATCAGACAACAGCAAAAAGTTTCTGATCACTTTATTATTGTAGTCTTTTTTTTTTTTTTTTGAGAATTGGGAAAATTAGAAAGATCTACTGTTTGTAACATGCTAAGATTTACTCAGACAGAGTGTCAATATATTCACCCAGTGTGCTAATTATCCCTGTAGCTGACTACCCTTTTGGACTCCAGCTTTACTAAGGAGCCAACACATTTCAAAATTAAGATAAATGATAGATTACTTAGAGGCTTAATAAGACTAACACAGCCAACCTAATGATCAGTTTGGAGCAGTTGTTGACATTAGCTGAATAGAGCCATTCAGTATCAAGATCTAAGATAATGGGATTTCAAGAGACCATGAGAGCTTAATGGAAAAGAGAAAGTTGTGTTGGAAGAAGTTCCTCAAACCTCTTTAAATTCTAAATGTTGGATTGAAAATCAGTAGTGAACAATTTGATTAAAACTTTCAGGAGAGGAATTAGATTTGAAAAATTGTGTAATGTTCTTTGTTCCTGTGGTCTTAAAAGAAGGACAAAATTCTCTAGTTTTACTGTATTATTAAATTATTTTCTTTCCATTTGAGAGTAAAATTTCTTACATACATCTACTAAATTATTTTTAAAGTTTCTCTCCCATCCCTTTTTGCCATTCATTTGCCACCATAGGTTTCAGTGAAGAGAAAGGAAGACCGGGGAGTGGAGTGATGGGGTTATGAGAGCATGGTTTGAGAACAAACATGGCGGTTTGGACTAGCATGAAAACCCTTGCCATAGCTTTTCCAATAGGCTCAGCACAAAGTAAGAAGATGAATAAAACCCAGATTCCAGCTTCTTACTTGGGAGGGAAACAGTTGGACAATGCATCCAACATTCTAGCTCTTCTGGGGCTGTGCAAGGGCCTATCTTCTGTCTCTACTGCCTCAAAGTACTGACAATACCCATCATACTGTAGATGCCTGAAGGCTGCTAAAAGAAAAAAAATATGGCAGCTGGGTCTAGCATGAAGGTTTGAGGAGCCAACAGGACCTGACCACACTGATTGCTTAGGGTTTTTTTCTGTATGAGGTAAGTCTGTGAAGACTAAGAGAAATGGTTATGTTTTCTACTGCACAGATACCAACACACAGAGTAAAGAAAGATGAAGTAATGGAGAAACATTGCCTAAACAAAGAAATAAGACAGAGCTCAAGAAATGGACCCTCATGAAACAGAGAAATGTGAGTTACCTGACAGAGATTTCAAAATAACCATCATAAAGATGCTCAGCAAGCTCAGGAGAAAAATTCATGAACAAAATGAGAATTTCAGCAAAGAGATAGAAAATTTTTAGAAGAACCAAACAGAAATCTTGGAGGAGAATACAATAACTGAACTAAAAATTTCAATAGAAGGATTAAATAGCAGGCTAAACTAAGCAGAAGAAAGAATCAGCAAACTCAAAGAGCATTTGAAATTATCCAGCCAGAGGAGAAAAAAGAATGAAAAAGAATGAAGAAAGTTGAAAAGATATATGGGATGCTATTAACCACTTCGGTACAAGCATCGACTATAGTCGGTAGCCACAGATGAACACTCACAGCAACTTTAGCCAACAGCCGTGATATGACTTTTCTATTTTTTCATTTATCAAAATAAAATTGTGAACATTTAAAAATAAGGTAATGAAAACATATATGTATATGTTACCTATTCTGATTTACATTACAAGTAAAGCTGCCTGTAAAGTCAAACAAGTTTTCAGTGCTTTCAAGCTTTCCTCATCACACAAGAGCAAAACGCATTCGTCGTCGTCAATGCACAGCACAAACTATCGTGCGGACTATGAGTGCCGGCTGTGGGCAAGGTTTCGTGGCCGGTGAGCGCTGTGCTGAAGTGGTTAAGCAGACCAATATATGCATTATGGGAGTTTTGGAAGTAAAAGAGAGAAAAAAAGGACAGAAAGCTTATTCAGAGAAATAATGGCTATCTCACCCCAGTCAAAATGGCTTTTATCCAAAAGACAGGCAATAATGAATGCTGGTGAGGGTGTGGAGAAAGGGGAACCCTTTTACACTCTTGGTGGTAATGTAAATTAGTGCGACTACTATGGAGAGCAGATGAATGTTCTTCAAAAAACTAAAAACAGAACTACCATGTGACCCAGCAATCCTACTTCTAGGTGTATGTCCAAAAGAAGGTAAATCAGCATATCAAAAAGATATCTGAACTCCCATGTTTATTGCGGCCCTACTCACAATAGCCAAGATTTGGAATCAATTTAAATACCCATCAGTGAGTGAATGGATAAAGAGATTATGGTGAACATGCACAATAGAATATTATATAACCATAAAAAGAATGAAATCCTGCTATTTGCAACAACATGGTTGGAACTGAAGGGCCTTACATTAAGTGAAATAAACCAAGCACAGAAAGACAAATCTCACATGTTCTCACTCATAATGTGGGAACTGAATATTAAAAACAATTGATCTCATGGAGACAGAGAGTAGAGTAATAGTTACCAGAGGCTGGGAAAGGTAGTGGGGAGAAGTGGATAAAGTGGGATGATTGAGAAAAAGTACAGTTAGATAATTAGATAAAATGAACAATATTTGGTCTACAGCCATACCACTCCGAACGTGCTTGATCTCATCTGATCTCAGAAGCTAAGCAGGGTAGGGCCTGGTTAGTACTTGGATGGGAGAATGAACGTTATTTGATAGCACAACAAAGTGCCTATAATTAAAAAGTTAGGGCATATTTTAAAATAACCAAAAAAGTGGAATTGGAATGTTCCTAACACAAAGAAATGATAAATGCCTGAAGTGATGTATACCCCAATTGCCCTGATTTGATTATTCACACTGTAAGCCTGTGTCAAAACATCATATGTGCCCTATCAATGTACACAACTATTATGTATCCATAATAATTAAAAATAAGAAAATTTTTAAAAAATAAAGAGGGTAAATTCCTTAGGGCATATTACTAATGACTGACCCAAAGAGCTTTGTTCTCAGCTTTGTCTGACTCTAAAATGCTTATTCTTTCCATTATAATGTGATCAGAATCAAGAATTATTTACTAATATATTATTCTATTTTAGAGTTTGAAAATCTGCCTTTATCTTAGATTGTTTGAATTAAATCATTCTTAATGGCAAATAACTAAAAAAAATTTAAAAATAAAATTCCACATGGGGATTCTGATGTGCCTGCATAGGGTATCCTGCTCCTGCAGGTCATTATTCCAGAGGCTCACACGGCAAGAAGCCAACTTGCCAGCCACGAGAGTGAGCTGCTGGGCAAGTGGGTCATCCAGCCTGCTTAAGCCTTCACATGGCTGCTACCTCGGTGGACAACTGACTCAACTTCATGAGAAAGCCTGAGCCGGTACCACTCGGCCAAGCCATATTCCTGAGCCACAAAAATAAGTGACGTGACAAATAATAATATTGTTATTTAAAGCCCAAAAAAGAAGAAATAATGGCCAAAAACTTCTCAAATCTGGAAAAGAAAATGGATATCCAAAGATCCAGGAAGCCCAACAGACCCAAAGACAGATGAGCTCAAAGAAATCCACACCAAGACACATTATAATCAAATTGTTAAAAGTCAAACGAAAGAGAATTTTGAAAGTGGCAAGAGAAAGATTACCTGTCATATACAAAGAAACCCCGATAAGATTATAAATCCATTTCTCAGCAGAAACCTTACAGAAATGGGATGATACATTCAAAGTGCTGAAAGAAAACAACTGCCAACAAAAAATATCATACCCAAAAACTTATTGGTAAAGGTAATATACAGAGGCAAATGCAGGATACTATAATATTGAAACAGTGGTCTGTAAATAACTTTTAATTTTGATGTAAAAGTTAAAGTACAAAAGCATTAAAATAACTATTAAAATGTATTAATGAATGCAGTATAAAAATATGTGAATTGTGATGTCAATAATGAAGTGTGGGAGGGATTAAAAGTGAATAGTTTTTGTATGCAATTAAAGTGAGTTGTATCAGCTAAAATAAACTGTTATGACTGTAAGATGTTTTATATAAGCCTCGTGGTAAGCACAAAGAAAATAACTATAGAAGATACATAAAAGGAAAAATCAAAAGAATTAAATCATATCAACACAAAAAAATAACAAAGGAAAACAGGAAAAGAGGGGGGAAAGAACCAAAAGACAGACAGAAAACAACTAACAAAATGGCAAAATGATCCTTTCTTACCAATAATTACTTTAAATGTAATTGGATTAAAGTCTCCAATCAAAAGACAGAATTGTTGAATAGATTTTTTAAAAAGCCAACTAACTATATGCTGTCTACAAAAGACTCACTTTAGATTTAGGGACACATAGGCTGAAAGGGAGGGGATATAAATGATATCCAAAAAAGAGCAGAGAAGTGACTATACTTACATCAGACAAAATAGACTTTAAGTAAAAAACTGGCAGAAGAGACAAAGAAGGTCATTATATAATGACAAAAGAGTCTATTCACTCAGAAGATAAAGCACCGATAATAATAATGTATGTACCCAATATTGGAGCACCTAAATATATAAAGCAATTATTGACAGAATTAAAGAGAGAAATAGACAGCAATACAATAATAGGAGACTTCAGTACCCCAACTTTCAAAACTAGATAAAATCTCCAGGCAGAAAATCAACAGGGAAACAGTGACGTTGAACAATACTATAGACCAAATGAGCCCAAGAGGCATATTTCGCCCAATAGCAACAGAATATACATTCTTCTCAAGCACACATGGAATATTTTCCAGGATAGATCACATGTTAGATTATAAAACAAGTCTTAACAAACTTAAGAAAATTGAAATCGTATCAAGTATCTTTTCTGACCATAATTAAATAAAACTATAATAGAAATTAATAGCAGAAGGAAAATTTAAAAATTCATAAAGATGTTGAAATTAAATAACACATTCTTGAACAACCAATGGGTCAAAGAAGAAATCAAAAGGGAAATTAGAAAATATTTCAAGACAAATGAAAACAAAAGCACAACATACCAAAACTTATGGAATGCAGAAAAAGCAGTATTAACAGTGAAGTTTTGAGCAATAAACAACTCACCTTAAAAAAGAAGAAAGATCATAACTACACTAACTTTACCCTTCAAGGAACTGGAAGAGAAGAAACAAACTAAGCCCAACATTAGCAGAGCAAAGAAAATAATAAATATTAGAACAGAAAAAAATAGAGAATAGAAAGACAATTTTAAAAAATCAATAAAACTAAAAGTTGGTTTTATGAAAAGGTTGACAAAACTTTAATATAAAAAAAGAGACAGACTTAAAATAATCAGAAGTGGAAGAGGAAATATTACAACTAATACCATAGAAATATAAAGGATTATAGATAGTACTATGAACAATTATGCACCAATAAAATGGACAATCTAGAAGAAATGAGTAAATTCCTAGCTCACCTACCAAGACTGAAACATGAAGAAATGGAAAATCTTAACCGACCAATTATGAGTAATGAAATTGAATCAGTAATCAAAAACCTCCTGACAAGGAAAAGCCTAGGACCAGATAGCTTTACTGGTGAACTCTACCAAAGATTTCAAGAAGCAGCAGTGTTGGAGGCCAGATGGAGTAGAAAAGTCATGAACCCTATCCTCTTATGTTCAACAGAAGATAGCACAGATGAATCATGTAGCTAAAAAGTATGTAACTAACAAAATAAGCCTGTGTTTTCATTTCCTCTGATCTTATTTTCTATTAGTTAACACAAATAATATAATACCATATGTTCCTTATATGCCTAAGTGAACAGATTTTTTTGAAATGAATTCATCATCATGCCCTCTACTCACTCCTGCCTGTTTCTCTTACCACTGTTAACAGTTTAGTGAGTTTTCCTTCAAACTGTTTTCTTTGCATATATGTATGTCTTTACTTTTCCAACATAAGTGAGATCATACTATGCCTTTGCTTTGTTCTCTTGTTCAGGATCATAGACATTAAACAGTATCATTTTGGGGGATATTTGGGATAAATTGCATAATATCCCAAAGAATAAACACACTATAATTTATTTATTGGTGTATACTTATGTTGCTTCCAACTTTTTATTATCACAATAATTCTTTGGTGAGTATCCTAACAGTATGTATCCTTGTTCTCATATGTAAATATGTTTATAGGATCAATTCCTAGAAACAGAAATCTTAGGTTAAAGATTATTCATAGCAAACTTTTACTTGATACCTGCCAAATTACACATCTTTGTACAGCACAATCCTTACTATTATACAATAGGTCATATGGGATCACCCAAACCATTAACCAGGTAACTGTAGAGCACTGGTTCTCAAAGTGTGGTCCTGGGACCAGTCACATCATTATCACCTGGGAACTTACTAAAAATGCAAATGCTCAGCCCCCATCCCAGCTGGACGGAATCAGAACTGCGAGGGTGGGGCCCAGCAATCTGTTTTAATACTCTCCAGGTAATTTTGATATACACCAGCGTTTAAGAACTCAATAGTGGGCTTTTCGGCTACTCAGATTTGTGCTAGAAGCCATGGGAAAATGCTTCTTAAGAACCCACACCTGGCCGAATTAGTACTATTGATCATGGTAAATAATAGCCATCTTATTTGCTAGATAGCTTTAGAGGAAGGGCATTGTCCTCAGGAACTGAGGAAAAATGGATCCTGTTTCTTCTCCGTATGAGTGAGAGCTTTACCAAGATCAGCTTGAGAGCCTACAGGTGCGCTTCTCTGAAAGACTCTCCTGTTTGTTGATTTCAGGTCCACAGTCATCTGCAAACACGGACCTCTACAGTGGAGCTGAGCGGGTGTGCAGGGCCTTCTCTGCCCTTGTGGATCAAATCACCTTGCCCAGCTGGAAGTGAAAAGTGGTCCAGGCTCAAAGATCCATTGATGTGATGGCAAATGCGTTTTCAGATCTGTATCAAAAGAATTAAGCCTTCTACTTTGCTTTCAACCGTTGTAAACTAGGGAGATTAAAAAATAAAACTTTTCTTCTTAGTTCTTCAGTTCAGATTAAAGTCTTGAGGGGGAGGGTCAGGGGTGGGTAGTGGAGGGAGAAGGAAAGAAGAAGTGGTAGAGTCAGATCCCCCTGTGCTGACTTTTCATCTCAGGTCGATTCTTACCGCGAATACCTTGGCATTGACATTCAAGTGTGTGATCAGCAGAAATGCGTGCCACTGTCTTCTTCAAGTCTCACTTAAATTACCGCATTGATGACCTAATTTTCTATCTGTATGCTCCTGCTGGAGAACAGGCTTGGCAAAGAACTAAACACACACACACACACACACACACACACACACACACACACACACACATTGAGTGCTTGTAAAACTGGTGAAATCTGAATGAACTCTGAATCACACCAATGTCAGTTTCCTGATTGTGATATTGTACTATAGTGATGCTAGATGTTCCCATTGGGGAAACTGGATGAAGAGTATGTCGATGTCTCTGTATTATTTCTTACAACTGTAAATGAATCAAGTATCTCAAAATAAAAAAAAAAATTAAAAAAAAATAAAGTCAACGTGAACTTTTGTCTCTAAAAGCCCACATGCAATAAGTTTCACCAAAGCACTGTGTGCTTCCTTTCTCTGCATGTTGGATTAGGTTATAGATGCTTTACTTAATGTCCAAAGTAATAGCTAACATTTTTTTGACTGTTAGAACACTTAGTTTCTAAGCACTTTATGTTGATATATACTAAGTCATTCCTCACAACAAACAAAGGAAGTTGGTATCTCATTTTATGAGAAAATTGAAGCACAAAGAGGTTTAATAACTGGTCCAAATTCATTTGGCCACTACTTGATGAAGTTGGGATTTGAACCCAGCTCCTGAGCCTATACTATAACCACTACTCTGCACTTTTTCTAATAAATATTGTTGTGATTTCAATGTTTTTGCTTATTCTTTTGATCTACAGTTATATTTAGAAATGCTGTGAATTTTAATTTTTATGTTATATAAGTCCTAGTACTGTTTACAGATGAAATAATGTCCCATTGGATAGAATTAAGATTAGTTTAATCTCCCTGTTCAATCTCATCCTAATTCTTTTATTTTTGAGACAAGCCTCTGTTCCCCTGGCTGGAGCGCAGTGGCATAATCATAATTCACTTCAACTCAAACTCCTGGGCTCAAGTGATCCTCCTGCCTCAGCCTCCCATGTAGCTGGAACTACCAGTGTGCACCACAACACCTAGCTAATTCTTCTATTTTTTGTAGAGACAGGGTTTCACTGTTGCTCAGGCTGGTCTTGAACTCCTGGCCTCAAGCAATCCTCTTGCCTCTGCCTCCCAAATTGCTAGGATTGCAGGAGGGAACCACTGTGCCTGGCTTCATCCTAATATTTTTAATTTGCTTTTCAGCCTATCATAAAGTTTTTATTTTGGCTTTGCCATTTAATATATTCACTTTCCTTATCTAGTCCCAGTTTGTTCCTTACAAGTTTGATAAGCATGCCTTGATCAGCAAGCTGTAGCCTACGGGCCAAATTCTGCTCATTGCCTATTTTGCACATGCTGTGAGCTAACAGTGATTGTTACATTTTTTTAAATGCTTCAAAAAGTCAAAAGAATAATATTTTGTGACACCTGAAAATTGTATGGATTCAAATTTCAGTGCCCATAAATAATATTTTATTGGAACATAACCATGCTCATTCATTTATGTATTATGATAACTGCTTTTGTTCTACCAAGGCAGAATTGATTAGTTGCAACAGCAGCTGGCCAGGCTATGGTACAAAGCCTAGAATATTTACTATCTGACCCTTTACAGAAATGTTTTGCCAACCCGTTGTGGAGTACCAAGGCGAGGGAAGAACAAAGGGCAGGCTCTTCTGCAAGCTCATTCTCCAACTGTGGCATCTTTTCAACCATTTGTAAGAGGTAATGAATCTAATGATGGTTTTAAGGAATGTGATGAAAAATATTAGAGAAAGTAGCAGGAAAGCAAAATCATGAGCCTATATGTAGAAAAGGTAGTCAAAGGGTGGTACCTTTTTAATGTGCTCATTCTCTTAACCTACCAAAAGCTGAGGCTGGACCTTCTCCCCAGCTTTCCCTAGGCTTCCTTTCTAATCCTCAGATGAAACTTTGTTTTCTGATAATAACCCTTTAGATGAAATTTCTAGCTTAGGGAGGGCGCTGAGCCTTCAATGAAAACATTTGCCAAGGCCTCCTTTGGACCTGGAAAAACCAAAGAAATTGCTAACATACCTGAAATTCAAACTGGCTGTCAATCACTGTATATAATAGAATGAATGGAGAGTTGGGAATACTTAGAGATAAAAATGGCATTGTGTCTGGAACTCAAATAGATTTGCTAATTGTACTTCCTGCTATAAACTTTGTTCAATCCCTGTCTGTTTTGAGGAAAAAATTATTTATGGCTTCTTTTCTTATAATGTTCATGTTACTTTTATTTTGCTTTTTAACACAAAGTGTAACCACCTATGGAGTATTTAATCAAATAGCAAATATGCTAATTGGGAAATAATTTATACCTATTTATATTTCCACTATTTTATTACAGGTTGGACATTATTAGTAGCAACATTAAATATTGAAATAAAGAGACTTCAATAACATTACCTGGGGTCTGGAGCTTTTATTAATTTTGTTTCCATTAGAATTATGCTTTGTTTGCCAGTATTTTGTTTTATTTATTTATTTGCTTCATTCAGCATTCAAAAATATTCTCCCAAACAAGATTCAGGTATCACAGACTTATCAGTAGCTGTTAATTAATTAATACAATCACTTATGTGCCTGTGAATAAGCAGTCCAGTGGTTAATAGCTTGGAAATCATGCAGTGTATTCAAGTTAAATGTATGGTACTCTAGTTCATTAACAATGTCAAGCATCCCCCCCCCAAATTGTTAAATGAATAAAAACAATCTGAGTCTCCCCAAGTCATCTTTGGAATTATTTAATTCTTTTAGACTGTGAGATGGTCTGGCAGGAATGTCATCATTGAAAAAACATGCTAGCAGCCTAAAAGAACGAAGCTGTAAATAAGCACATGGAAAGAACTTGGCTTAATGTTTATCTCTGGACATTCCCACTATTTAAATAAATGAATACTCAATACTTAAGAAAAATTGTATTTTTATATATACTTTCTTTTAAAATTCCAAGGCATGAGTTAGCTCTGGGGTTAGGTTATTTTCTCTTTGTTCCCAGGTTCACTTTTCCAATGAATCTAGACCCACTCCTGCGCACATGCATATTTATCAAATCTTCAATCAACTCTTTCTTCTTTAGGAAAGGAGTTCTTAGGAGCTGGGAATATAGACCTGAAAGTAGAGAAAAAGAACTTCATAAGGTTACCAAATTATTTTCAAGTTAATTAAATATCAATAAATTATTTTTAGAAAGAATGTATGATGTTTCTACCACTCTAATTTTACATAAATTTATTGAAGGGTATATTTGTAAATTTTTATTTATGAAAAGTTTTATGTCTATGTAGTTTAGTTAGACAATCTAAATCAAACAAATAATAATAATTACATTTTCTTGTCAATTAATATGCATTAAAATATATGATTAAAAAAGTAAAAATGGTCACTATATAATTTTAATATAGAACTATAAGGAAAAAAATTTAACTACCCATAATATAATCTTCCAGAGATAACCATGGTTTTGTGCATACACACTTTATACCATAATTTATTTAACCATTACTTCATTGTGGAACATTTAGATTATTTCCAGATTTTCTGTTGCTATAAATAATATTGTAATGAATAGCCTGGTACTATATCATCAGCTGCATCTCTGAGTGTTTCTTAGAATAGATTTCTAGATGGGTAATTTTTGAGTATGTGGCTTAGGAAATTTCTTGGAATGGGTAAAGTAGGAAACAAGCATTTGTGAATCTAATTATTTATGTTTCTGAAGCATTGTTTTCTCTCTTGTGTTTAGTGTTCAAAAAGTAAGCGCTATGAACATTTGCCAGGTAGTGAGACAGCAACTGCAAATACTATCAAATTATAAATCTAAATTTAAATTATCTTATCATACAAGAAAAGAAAGACACAATTTTTCTAGAACATACAACTGCCAGTCCCAGGAAGACAGGTTTTTCTGTCCCTCTCAGTGGCAGAGCAAGGTTGGTTAAAGGAAGAGACCATCATTTTTGACACAAACAAGGGTGTACTGCAAAATTTCTTCACTGGCATTTAAATCTTTAGTAACTTCTGAGTTAACTTCAATTCTTTTATTTTCTATATTGGACTTATCAGTGTACTCTTGCCCTAAATCAATTAATACCTCTCTCTCTCTCTCTCTCTCTCTCTCTCCCTCTCTCTCTCACACACACACACACATTTGACATAATCCAGCAGAATTTGGTGGTTAATCCTGAACACATACTCTTTACACCTTCCTTTGGATACTTCACCATTTAGCTATTAGCCCATGTCTTTCTAGACTAAATGACAATGATCTTTCGAGTCTTTTCTCATAATGATATCTCTAGCCCTCTCCTTTCTAAGCCTCCTGTTTCTGCTCATTATTGCTATAAACAGCCATAGTGTCCATGTTATCACCCAACTCAGTCAACTGTCCTTGGGGTGAAGCTCTTCCAGGTTCTTCCCATAGTTAAATAAGTGGTTTTTATAGCATCACAGAACATTAGAACAGAGAACATGAAGAGACTTTATGGGTCATCTACTTCTTTCCATAGGCTTCTTTTTCAGATGAAGAAACTGAGGGTTAAATAAGATAATTAACTCCCTCAAGGTGACATAGCTGTTTGACATCTTTTGTTTCATATTTGTTGACCCAATATTAACAATATGATATATTAACGTACAAAGCTATATAGTTTTATTCGTTTCACAAAGCATAATGCAAAGTAAGTTTTTGCAAGTCCATCTAAACTATTTGATTTGAGGACATCAAAATAACAAGAACATTTTGGCATATTATGTAGACACTTATTTTAGTTCTTCTTCTCTTTTGCCCTGATGATGTGATTTCACTGAGAACTATAGCAGGACAAACGCCTCTTCACCTTCACTCCCATCCCAACCTGACAACGTATTATCCCCTAGGGACAAAAGAAAAAAATTATTGCAGGATCCATGTGGGTACATCCAGAGCCCAGTGGAGCCACTAGAGATTTAATCAAGCCTCTTGAGATGAAACCTCAATGTTCCTGCAACTATTTAACTTCTCAACATGGTATCTCCTTGACCCAAGGCCCTCTTTGACTGTGACTATACAAACCAGATAGAAAGTCTTGTTTCCTGATCCACAAATAATTGTTTGTGTCAAACATTAAAATAACTTCAATGAAGTGAAACGCTCACTTCTGCCACTTGGCTACTTGCATAGTAACTCTCCCTAAAGTTTGCAAACCAGCTGAGTCAATAATAACTCTGTAGCAAGATGGAGGAAGGAGCTTCCAAAGCTAAAACTGTCTTGGAGAAATATTTTTAAATACATATACATAATTAATATATATTTAACATTTTAATGTTCAGCTGAATACAAATAATATTATGTTCATTTGTTCTGTAGACTTTTTTTGAGTTATTCAAAGTGAGTGCAAGATAGAAAAAAATGTTGATGATAATTTGAGTAAGATAGCTAAATATGATAAGAATGGAAGAGGCTCTACAGACTACTCTTAGTAGTACAGAAGAAGAAAATATATGGTCCTTACTGGTGTGGATGCCTAGGAAGCTACTGTTCAAAATATTTTTAAAATATTGGTAACCAACATTTGGTTGGTTACATTGGTAACCAATTTTTGTCTTTCTACTTTAGTAGCAAAGCTGCCCAAAGAATATTTTTTCCAAAAAAGGAAATTGGTTTAAGTTACAATAACATTTACCAAAATAATAAACTTATCTATAAATAATAGCAGTGAATTATCAGCAAGTAAATCATAAGAATTTTTAGATCCTGAAGTTAAAGCAAACTAGACATATAAAAGCTCTACAATATCTTAGGAAAGGGTAGCACTAGAACTATTACTATTAGTTGCTGTTTTAATACAGAGGTTGTAGGAATTTGTAACAATTCTCACAATAAAATGTACAAATGTGAAAATTAGTTATTCCTCAGTTTTCCACTGATGGGTAAATAATACTAAAGAGCTAGTGCCACCCAAACAGCCCTTGCTACAAGGTTTTGGGAAACTTATTGGTTGAAATGACACAAGAAGGAACAAATGACACCAAAAAAAGAATATGAATAGGGTTCAGACTTCTCCCTGCTTACTCAAAGGGGCTTACTCACCTTCATTCTAATTCTATAAGGGATTCTTTTTCTATGCCCTCAAAGAAGACTACAATTGAATATAGTGTTTACTTCCATAAAAATCTCCAAATTTGTAGCAAGTTCCAATTTACTAGACATTAATTACTCAGCTTTCTGGGGTTAATTACTCATTTGAGAATCATTTAAAAAACAATAAGAAGTGAATCTGCATTCCAGCTGACTTGTTTTACTCTTTACTTCATCAACTAAGTACCTCTCAAAGAGTCTCTCCATTTCTCCATTTACATGAAAGCAATGTTTGTTTGTTTGTTTCAATTTAAAAGGGACAAGAGTTTATGTATTGCAAATGTTCCCCAGGCTTATATTCAAGTCTTCCCAATTCCACAGCAAGCAAACATCAGGTTATTTTTACCAATGTTCAAGCCAATAGTAAAAAAAAAAAATGTTGATCTTGGGGTATCCCCTTACACTTTTATATTGTATTTTGGGAATCATGCTTTTCCTTACTTGTCTTTTTGAATCTTCTTTGCTGCTGTTCGCATAAAGTATGAGGATGAGGACAATATGTTGTTATAAACAACTATTATGAAATACAAAGGAAGTGCTGTCTTCCTATCACTGGTGTATGTTCTTGAGGTTCATCCCCTGAGAAGAATTCCCTCAATTCCCTTGCAAGTGGATTCCCCTAAAGCCAGTTCCCTCTTGCTCATAATTCAGCACATATCATACTTGATTGATCCTTTCAAAAGACATGGGAGGTGGGGATAACTACCTTGTTTACTTCCTGTGTTCTGTGGCTGTACTGCCGAGATTTTCTCTTCCTCTGCAGCCAATTGCCTTCTTCCTAAACCATGGTTCCTGGAAAGAACACAGTCCACATAGATGTCCCAGAAGAGTTGGGACAAATCCCAAAACAGTGCCCCATGCTTCAAGTTCTCAGATGACTTCAGGTAGATCATAAAATCCCAGAAGCCTAAAACAGTGTTGGAAATGCGAGGCTTCCACATTTCCAGGAGAAGCATTGAAGACGATTCCCAGCACTGAGGATCAGCTTGGTTAAGAGCCAGCAGGTCTGTCTGGCTATGACAGAAGAAAGGAGACACACAGCACATTCCCACAATGAGCAGAGAACAGGTGAGGCTCAAGGAGCGGTGGATCCCTCCTCTGTTCCCAGGATTGGCCATGGCCCTGAAACTGCACAGGATGAAAATATTTCATATCAGTCCCTGCTTATGCTCCATTCAATAGAGAAAATAAGTATGCCCTTAAGAACCTTATTTTCAGCAAAGGAAACACACCATGTTTACTAGGTAGAGAAAGTCTTAGCCTAGCTCCCATATCACAAGCCCCATTCTATCTAAAATGACTCATGGCCAGGACAGGCAGTGGGTGTAAAACCAAGATATTTAGGCTGAGAAATATTTGCTCCTCAGAAGTGTTCCTTTGTAAGATGAATAACTGAACATGTTTCTCTCTGGTATAAAAGAATATAGTTTTAAAAAGTATTAAGTAAATATTTAAAATCTTGCTACATGGCTTTAATTATTCTATAACATCTTAATTACTCCTAGCTAGCCAGCCTAATCTAGGACTCTTATGCAATTAATACTTTGAATATATTTTACTTTTGAATGCATTCCTATTAACAGTGACTTTTAATTTTTTAAAAAGGATATAACAATTATAAAATGTTATAACAAAAATAAACACAACATAGTGTGCTAAAAGTATGGATGAATATATGTGGGAACAATGGGGCATATGTTCAACCCATTAGAGTAGAATCAATAGATGTTTTACAAAGATCTAAATGTTCTGCAATTCTGATATAACTTTCATAAAGATGATTTTTTTCCTAATTTATCTCTTCTTGCTATGAATCTCAAGGATTTTTTAAAAAATTATCTGTCTCTTATTCAACTTTTCTGGCCCTCAATGACTGTTGCAATAAAAGCAAGGCATCCACACACTGCCTTGAAATTATTCTTATGTTATCACTTTAGACAAGTGCAATAAGAAATGATGCCCTTAAAATCGTAAACTAAATTTTCTTTTTTTCTCAGAAAAAAATCTTATCTGACTCCTAACAGACTATACAAAGTGTATATCACACTTAAACAACTCTAACAGGAGAGGCACATACAGCTCACTTTCAGTTTTATCTTATGTTTCCAAACCTCTTAGATGTTAGTATCACAAAGGCAAGCAGGGTACAGCTCATGGAAATGCTCCTATATTGAAACACTTAATGATAACATCATAAGATGGAATCTTTCTCTTCTGCACAGCAGCAGAATAAATAAATATTTCAGAAACTGTCTTTGAACATGCATGTTCCCATTTTGAAGGGACATGTTCGAGATACAAGGTTATTCAAAAAGTATTTCCTTTATCTTTCATATTATTTGTACACTATCTCTACTCGAACAAACTCATATTTATTGTGTCCTTCTCTGAACTAAAATGCCGACGTTGTTTCTCCTTGAGGGATAAATCTAAGCTATTTGTGCTAAGTTTTTAGCGGGCGGGGTGCTGTCCGCGGTGCTGAAGTTGCAGTTGTCCGGGACTCCCTGTCTGCTCACGCCACAGCGCTCATGTTGGCTCCTGTAGGTCCCCTTCTTTCAAGACAAGGCTTCTCCGAGCCTGGAGGGGTGTTTCTCTAAGTTCCTGAACCCAGGGGTCCTCCCTGTGCTCCGCTCCCAGCCCTGCGCTGTGCTTGGCACGTCTCGGCCCCGCACCTGCTTCGGCTACCTCAGCCTCCTCAGGGCGGAGCTGCGGGAGACCTTCTCCGTCCTTGGGGCCACACTCACCTCCTTACCCCGCGGCTCTGCTCGCAGGTCGCAGGAGGGCGTCGCTCCGCACTCACCTGCCAGGCCCCCTCAGGATTCCCTCGAATGTCTGGACAGGGTTCCCTCGAGTGCGCGGAGAGCAAATGCTCAGGCAGCTCCCGGAGCGAGTGACTGTCCCCAGCTTCCGCGTCCTGAAGGCTACCGTGCCTCTTCTTAAGCAGTGGGAGTGCTCGGCGCCTCTCCAAGTCTACGTCAAAGCGCCTGGGAACTGCCGCCACCTCTCGCCTCCAAGTCCATCTCCCGCACCCTCCTCTTCTCTCCCTCCCCTGGGGATTTCGCTTCAGGAAAAGCAGGCTTGGCGGCACACACCCTCACTGACCCTGCCCCACACCCACCCTGCACCTGGCGGAATTGAACCTCTGTGCGGTTCGGCTTCCCGGTCCTGCCCCGGGAGGCGCACCCGCGCGGGCGGGAACTGGAAAGTTGGGGCCCAGCTCCGCGCCAGTCTAGGGGAGAGTGTGGGTCCCAGACGAGGAGCTCTTCACGCGGCCCTCGTCTGAAAATAAAGGGGTATGGGGAAAGACCCTGGACTCCTAGGGTCGGAGAAGGGACATAGGCACCCTCCCTGAGGTCAGCCAGGGCTTGGAGGACGTAAGGTGCCTGCCCGAGACATTCCCGGGGTGAATTTCTCCTGCCTGCCTGTGGCCCTGAGCTGAAAGGAGAAAAACACCCCGAGGGTAGAGATGTGGACAGGGACTTGGCGCTGCTGGAGGTCCCCCTGACTGGGGCCAGGAAACCCCATTATCTCCAGGCTCTGGCCTGGGTCACGTCGGGAGCTTCAGTTGTTGCTGGTCTCACTTTCACCAGCCTGCGGAGCCAAGTTTCGCAGCGGGGGCTCTGCTTTCTAAGAAGGGGAAGCGTGCGGGATTCCCTTTGGTTCTGGCCCCACAACTACTTAATATCTTAGTCCCAGGTTACAGCTCTGCCGCTGCTCCGGAGCTCTGCTGAGCATTAGCACCCACCTTAACTGAAACACGCCCAACCAAGGGGCCTGAGGCAAAGTCCTCCCTTTACAAGTTTTGTTTCCGGGTTTTGCCCCTTGCCTCAAAATCCCCTCAGCGTCCTGAAAACCACTTGTAGTTCCCATTAACTGAAGGCTGTTGTGTCAGCTCAATAGTATCCATGGTTACCTTCCAGAGGGGCACAGGGCTTTACAGCAGGGTTTACTGAAACCACAGAGAACTGGCCCCCTCCCCAAGGGATAGGAAGAAGGAGCTGTGGGGGAGTCCTGAGGGGCTCTGAGCTGTTCCTCCTGCTGGGTGTACTTCAGTTTCTCCATCTGTGAATTGGGCACACTAATACCTGCTTTGATTTACCTGATAAGGATGCGGGGAAAGATCAAGGCTGAAGTCTGGGACCTGCTGCCTGAACTGCAACGAGCTCAGGGCCTTTTGGAGAAGGTTCTCAGAGAAACAGGGCATCTCAGCACAGTGTGTGAGCACAGGGATAGAGATTAGTAAAGGACCCTCAGGAGAGAAAATGGCTAGAGGGAGTGGAGAAAGCATCATGGAAGTGACTGGTGAATGTCTCAAGGAAGGCGTTTTATGGGTGTTTTGGAGCCAAAAGGTGGGGAGGAGTGTCTAGGGGGAGAAGCCAGCAGCAGCAAAGGCATGGGGGAGGACTCACAGCAGCAGTTCTGTGCTTCTGGGGAGCAAAGTCAAGAGCAGGAGTGTAGAGAGGGAAGGCAGAACAGAAGTAAGGATGTGGAGATTGAATTCTGGTTTGGAACATGTTGGTAGTTGCATTATTCCTGAAAACATTAATATATCAATATCAGTTGCCTACTTTATTTTCAAGTGCTTTTGTGTTAGGCACTATTTTACATGCTGTGTATACAGAAGGAATAAAACAAAGTCCCTGCAGTCATGGAGCTTACATTCTAGTTGAGGGAAACAGAAAAAAAGAAAATTTATATTTATATTTTTAAATTATATCTATAGACATATATAACTGTATATGTATACATACACACATATACATAAGGATTCATGTTTCTGGTTTCTGTGTTGAGTGGGGAGTTTACAGCTCTGTTCCAAAAACAAACACATAAGTCACTAATTAAATAAGCAAACAATTCCACCCATGAGTCAATAATGAGTCTATCTATCATTCCAAAGCCCAAGGAAAAAAATATATGTAACGTGTCAGATGTAATTTACAAAAAGGACCATCAAGAAAAAGTAAAGCAGGATTAGGAAAGGGTGGTAGAAAAGAGCTATTTTATTTAAAATACTGAGAAGCTCTTCCTGATGAGAAGATATTTGAATAAAGACCTAATAAAGTGAAAGAGTGAGTTATGCATAGTTTAAGAATGCTCCAGGTAGGGAGTGGGAAAAGCAAATACAATGGCTTTGGAACCAGGGTGTTGTGAGAAGAGTGTTTTCAAGGTATAGTGGCAGGACATGTGGTCAGAGAGGCGGTCAGAAATCCATTTGTGTTGCCCAGTAGAGAACAGAGTTGTGGAGAATAAGAGTTGAGGAAACAGTCCAGTTAGGAGCCGTTGCAATCATCCAGGCAAGATAAGGTGGCAGAATAGATAAGGGTGGTGGCAGTGGAGGTTATGAAAATGATCAAATATATTTTGATAGTAGAAATGACAAGGCATATTAATGGACTTGATATAGAGTAGGAGAGAAATTGAAGATGATTTCAGGTTTGGGGGAATAAGAAATTGGAAGGTAGGACTTATCATCAACTGGAAGAAGAAATGGTTTAAGGAATAGGTTTAGGAAGGTGGAATCGAGAATCTGGTTTTGAACAAGTTAGGCATGACACGACTGGCATCCCAATGGAGACACTGCATAAGTAGGGAAGAAGTGGGACCTGGAGACAAACATTTGGGATACTGTGCTCAGGAAAGAAGTCCAGATTTGGGGTTTTGTAAGCCTGTAGGCAATAGTTTAAATCATCAGACAGAAGTGTGGAAAGTGAGTACAATTGTAGCCAGAGGAAAGAATCTGAGAAATGGCATCTGCCTTAAAGTGATTAAGAAACAGACACATAAATCAGGGGTGTGATGCATTGGGAGCCAATGAGATAAGAGTTTCTCACAAATAAGGTAGAAATCCACTACATCACATGAATTCAGTGGGAGGGTGTCAATAAAATGAAAACAAAGAATTTTCCATTGGCTCTAATAGGAAATCACTGATGAACTTATTGAGGGCGATTTCGACTGAGTGTTCAGGGAGGAGAAGTTGTGGTAGGCTAAAGGAGATATGGAAAGACAGGAAATGAAGACAGTGCCTGTGGATCACTCTCTATGAAGTTTGAATAATAATAAGAAAGATTGGAATGAAAGGCTAGGAGTTGGGTCTTGATCACGTTTACAGGCTGAGAGAGAGAGAGAAACCAAAAGGGAGGAAGGAATTGAAGATCAAGAGAGAAGGAAGACTAGTAATCTCAGAGAAAACAACAAGCAGTGGGGGTAAGAGGATAAGGAAGGGGCAGCATCTGACAGAAAGGAGAGAGCTGGCCCTCTGAAATGGAGGGACAAAGGGAGGCTCACTGGGAATATGGATATGTCTGCAGGCAGTATGGTGAGTAGGAGAGAGACAGCAACTGATGGTCTCATTTTCTCAATGATGTAAGATGCATAGTCATCCACAAAAAGTGAATGAGGGTGGTGTTAGTAGGAAGCTTAAGGAGAGTAGAAAAGCCCTGGAATAATTATTGAAGGAAAGAAGAAAAGAGAGAGGAAAAAAGAAAATGGAGAAAGGAGACAGACTGAAGAACAGGACTAAAAGCCCACGTAAAGTTTGAGCCCATGATTTTGTGATAAACCATTGTGAATGCTTGTATGGTTTCGATGAGGCGAATAGCATAATGATGAAGACTATTATGCTCTGCACCCCTACTGCCTAGGTTTGCACCATGTATCCCTCACTTGTCATATGTCACTGATTCTTAGATTCACTTTTTTGTACATTTAACACCACTGGAATCAGGATGTATCTGTTAACTGATGGCAACTTGCAATGGTAGCATTTTCTTTTAATTTTTTAAAAATAATGGGATATCTACAATTGATGGCATATTTGACTTGATGTCATTCCTTGGAAAAGTTACTTAACTTTGTAGAACAGATTTCTTACCTCTAAAATGGACAAAAATCCCCCTCATGGTTAGTGAGAATAAAATGAGATCACACATGGAAAACACTTAATAATAGAATGATACTACATGTAGTAAGACTTGACAGATCTTATTTTTTTCCTCCTGCAGTTCTCATTGACTGAGTGTAAGAGAGAAGAATGATCACAATTTACCAACTTGCACTTGAAAATTAAGTAGTCATCTTATTGAATTTATTAATTTCGAGAAAAATCCTAACCACTACATAGTCTGTTGTAACATATATTTATATTCATTGGTATTCAGGGCAATTTAGAGAGATTCTTGGGAAGGGGAATGTATGTTTTTAATCTTGAATTTCACCATTAGCTTGATAATTGCAAGAGAAATATAACATATCAACATATCGATTCTTGCATTTAGATACAAAAGAAAGCTACTACCAATCCATTTGATTAAAACCCTTTATACTCTGTTGAGCACATAAGGATGCTTAGCTTGATATCTTATCCTTATGGTTTCATTTTCACAGGTTAGAGTCTAACAAATGACTAACATTTGTCAGCACCTACATTTTATGAAACATTATTTTCATATACATGGTTTCAGATGATCCTAAGGAAAACACCATTTTTATCCTCCACTTTCTCTCATTTTGCTATTAGGTTAAGAGATTTCTGTGGGATCACTTAGCTGATTAAGAGTTAGAGCATGGTCTTGTTTCCAAAACTTTGCTTTATTCCCTTCCATTTATCTGTCCTAAATAGTGTGCACATACCAATACTTGAAATATCTGTCAGTCTTTATTCTCTTCACTGTATAGTCTATCCTAATCCTCCACTTGCCATCAGTACCAACTGGGAGGGAGCCTATGGTGGGTCCAACTTACAGAGAAAATAATTTTAGCAAGTTACATCTGGACTCAGTTCATCACATCATCATTGTGATTTGTTTAAAAATATTCAGGAAACCAATGGGTCATTTAAAATTACATGATGCTAAATAACTAGTTTAACTGGCATTTGTCATCCAAAGAGTTGTTTCAACTTTATGAGTTGCATCCTAGGGCTAAAGGATGACGAGTTGAGAAGTAAATTGCAATTAGCAGAATGTGCCCCATGGGTAGATTTTTCTGATTTTTGCCACTTGAAGCAATTCTCCAAGACATTAAAAAGGACTTCCGATTAGTTTTAATGAAATTCGA